GGTATTATATGTGATAAATTGCTGTAAATAATAGTAAACTGAGTATTTATTCACAGTACGCACTTCCTATTTTAGTTGTGGTGATAGAAATCTTAATGTCATTGATACACAGTTGAGAAATATGGTGCAATTATTCAAATGCAGATTTAAACCTTATTAATATTAAACCCAATCCCGCATGCAGCTGTGGAGAATAGTATTCACTATATTTTAAGTGCCCTTTTATCAACGAAGCAAGAGAAATATTGATTTCAAAATTAGAAAGATCTACTATATCCATTTTGCTTTTATTAGTGGCTGGTGACGGTGACCTTTCATTTCACCAAAACAAAGACATTTTTGAGTCTGTACAATCATATATCAGAAATACACTAAGATGTAGAACATTCAATCAAAATTCGGAATTCGTACTTCCCAACTCTTTACTCTGGTCCAGTTTTATATATTACTCAATATTATATTATACTTTTTTGTTTTTGAGACAAGGCCATGCATAATTTGTCAAAAGACAAGCACAATAACCCCAAAGCGAATTGCGAGAAGTGGTTTCGTATTTCGTTATAGAAAAAAATACTAATAGTTTATGTAAAATAACGACTCTCGTACGGTGTCGCGTTTATATCTTTTTAAAACATTGGTGCAATTTGATGCAAAAAATAATGACCATAAAATGTCAGGTTTGCGAGATCAGACAGTAACCTAACAACTAAACAATTGAAAATCTAGGGATCAATGTTTAACATTCGTCAGCCATGAGCAATTTTCATAAATAAAACATGATTTAGTAGAATACTTTGCGAGTAAAAAAAAGAGACTACCATAGATTTGTTATTAACCACAAATGCTTAAGGGGTACAAATCAGTATTCAGGAGTTACCCTTTTTGCATTACACCACATTACAATAGAAATTAGAAAATAGGGCCTGGAAGTATTTCTAAGACATTGTTGTTTTCCTGTTCTATGTAGCTTTCTTTCTGGCAAACACGGTGTTAGATTTTATAAATGCTGACAGGCACCGACCATTGAAAAACCATCGATCTGTTTAAAATGAGAAATGAAAATAATTGTTTGTTTTTTGTTTTTTTTTATGGCAAATAAGAAAAATGACCGTTCGATTCAAAATTGTTTAAAATTATTTAGAAATAGATTTATGAAAATAATGTATTTTAATGCGAAAAGGCTAGACTTTAATTTGTGGTGTAGGGATGTGATTGGTTGGTTTTGTCTACAATTATTTCCCATGATTTCCGTAGTGAAAATCTGCAATAATTATTGTTTCATCATGTTGTTTGATTTTCACATTATAACAAAACTAAGAATATGACGGATGAATTTATAGTTAGCTGTTTTATGTCCAGTGGTTACTATTAGATGTATCATTAGGGGGACATTTACAATGTTATAAATATGAACAAGGTCAAGGTATCCTTTTTTATGCAACATGTGTATCACGGTACAAGCGATGACCTATAGACCGTGTGTATCATATGTATATTTAGGGTGGGTTGCTCTGAATAAAGGAGGTATAGATACAGGAAAATAAAGAAAAACATTTTATAAAATTAGAATAGAGTATAACAGGCAAAATAAAGAACAGAGGAAAATGGTTTAAGAAAATTAAAGAATAGAGGGAAATGGTCTAGTTTTTTGCCGGACAATCGTTGATGATTGTTTAAAGTCAAGTGCATTTATAGGTAAAATAATACACAATCGTTTGTTCATTGGTAGGGATTTAGGTTTGAGGTTGATAAGGCACATAATGAGTAATTGTTTTTATTTGAAATTTCTCGAATATTTGTTTTTTTTTCCGTCTGATTTGAAAATGAATAAAGAAAATCTATAATCTAAAAAAAATCGTTTAATACTCAGCAGACAGTAGTTTACTCGCACATTCACCAAGTCCGTATTTCTACGGCTAAAAAAAAATCATAATTGTATCTTTTAATTTGTTTAAATTTATTTCAGTGTTTATTTTTCAAACTTTTTATGTAAATAATGTTGGATCAACATCGAGTCAGATTAAATTATAATTTATTAAATTATTAATTAAAAACTAAAACATGCATCCAATCTAAATTTTACGCATATTATCACCTATATAAAAAGATTTAACAGAACACAATTCATGTTTTATATTAAAAAACGAAACTATGCACTCCAAGAAACGATGTACGCTTAACGATACGATATACGCTACACGAAACGATGTACGCTAAACGATACGGTATACGCTAAATGAAACGATGTACGCAAAACCATACGATTAACGATACAAGGGCGCTTATGTTATCGTTAATGGTATGGTTTATGGTACATGGTTTCGTTCGTACATCGTTCGTTCAGCGTCCGTACAACGTTCGGTCAGCGTTTCGTTTGCATTCGTACACCGTTCGGGAAGCGTACGTACATCGTTCGGGCATCGTCCGTACATGGTTCGGGCATCGTTCGTATTGTTAACTTTTACGTTACACGGACTGTAGATCAGCTGGGCAGCCTGCAATCCACAATGATGAGATACTGGTCATGAGTCTAACATGTAGTAATAATGATGACAGCAATGCGTTATCAGGACCACTGTCGTGTGACGGTGAAATGAAGGTCCATTATCCAACACCACGGATACAGGGCCCTTGGACGTCAGACGGCATAACACTCCCCCATCCACAATGGGTTTTGGAGTGTATGCTGATGGTGATGTGTTTATACAGACTTTACAGCATTGAATTCACAACCTCATTGTAAACTACCTAAAACCAAAACATTAACCTGATATGGGATGTAGGAACACACAGATGGAAAGACACAGATTGAAAAACATAATCCCCTAATCTAACATAAGAGGGAGAAGATGATTAACTGTATATTTTATTTGTAATAACTTATCAAGGGAAGATAAATGTAGGAAACATTTTTCAGACTAATTGAGTTTTCCAGAAAGGTTTCCCGATTTTTACATGATTTCATGTCCTGAAAATTTATATGGCATCTTAATATTACATAAGGTGGCAGGTACCAGTTTTGGTGTATCAGAACATGTGTCCAATGCAGAAATTTTGTTATAGTTGAGCAATGAGGTATATAATTGGATCATGTGGACTGAAAAAACAAATGAATGTAAATTCTAGGCTATTGTACTACATTAGTAAGTAGTTGCGTACATAGGTTGGGGATTTCCTTCACATATGGGACCAATCAGAAGTCAAAATTGGGTCTCCTCTCTTGACGGAATCCAATCAAAGTGGGGGGAAAATTCAGTTTTATGTAAACAAAAATATCTTTGAGATTTTCATGGTAAGGATAGGTGCTGACAAGGCTCTAATTCATTGAATATCATTTATCTCTTGAAATTTGCCTAAAATTCTTGTCTGACATTAGCAGGATTCTGAAGGTGAGGATTAGATTTGTATCAGAGCATCACATTTTTTTGCCTCATTTACAATGCATTTATAAATTTTAAAATCTCCATGCTGGACAGACACCCAAATTTACAGGTTTTCTATATATTCACATAAGCACCACACATCTTAGTTACTCGAAACCATAAATTTTATTTGCATATAAGCTTGAATAATTTTTCAGGAAAATTAAATCATAAATCCATGAAATTCTAAAGATTTATTGTAAAATAACTGGTTTCTGCCACCTAAAACAAAATGAACAAATTTTAAAACCATTTTCAATGTTTGTGCAAGAGAGAAGTGGTGACAACTAGATGTTTTCTTTTCCATACTTGTAAAAAACTAGAGGCTCTCAAGAGCCTGTGTCGCTCACCTGTATTTACTGATGCTTTGGAAATCATGTAAAATAAGGATAAAATCATAATTAATAGTATTAGATATTAGATATTATAATAATATCTAAGATAATATTAAAAAACTGCAAAATTTTTGTAAAATTACTAACTGAGGGGCAGCAACCCAACAACAGGTTGTCGGATTCGTCTGAAAATTTCAGAGCTGGTAAATCTAGACCTGATGAACATTTTTGCCACGTGTCAGATTTGCTCTAAATGCTTTAGTTTCAGAGATATAAACCAAAAACTGCATTTTACCTCTATGTTCTAGTTTTAACCAAGTCGGCCATGATGGTTGGAAGGCGAGGTCATCGGACAAATTTTTTAAACTAGATACCCTAATAATGATTATGGCCAAGTATGGTTAAATTTGTCTCAGTAGTTTCAGAGAAGAAGATTTTTGTAAAAGATTACAAAAATTTACAAAAAATTGTTAAAAATTGACTATTAAGGGCAATAACTCCTAAAGGGGTCGACTGACAATTTTGGTCATGTTGACTTATTTGTAGATCTTACTTTGCTGAACATTATTGCTGTTTACAGTTTATCTCTATCTATAATAATATTCAAGATAATAACCAAAAACTGCAAAATTTCCTTAAAATTACCAATTCAGGGGCAGCAACCCAACAACAGGTTGTCAGATTTGTCTGAAAATTTCAGGGCAGATAGATCTTGACCTGATAATCAGTTTTACCCTATGTCAGATTTACTCTAAATGCTTTGGTTTCAGAGATATAAGCCAAAATCTACATTTTACCCCTATGTTCTATTTTTAGCCATAGCGGCCATCTTGGTTGGTTGGCAGGGTCATCGGACACATTTTTAAAACTAGATACCCTAATGATGATTGTGGCCAAGTTTGGTTAAATTTGGCCCAGTGGTTTCAGAGGAGAAGATTTTTGTAAAAAGCTAACGACGACGACGACGGACATCGGACGCCAAGTGATGAGAAAAGCTCACTTGGCCCTTCGGGCCAGGCGAGCTAAAAACTACTTAATTTGTCTTCTTACTTCTATTTTTGGAAATTTCCAACTCTCTATCATCAACTTTTCTTGATGGGACTAAAAGTTCTTAATGGAACCATTATTTTTACCGTAGAAACAGGATAAAGAACTAAGGTAAACTGTTCCATCTATTATTTGTTGAATGATGTGTCAATGTACCTCTTAATATATCCTTTTCTAACTGTATATAAAAACTTACTCTTTCTGGAGTTTCAAACATTTTCTCTAAGTTAACTACACCTGGATGATGAAGATTCTGTAATTATAAAAAATAATTATAGAAACATTAGAATTAACAACAGCATTGTAAAATGGAGCATCCCTCACATAAAGTTTATTTGTGCATTTACTTATGCTTTTAAAATTATCTATTGTTTTGAATGTATTCTCTCAAAACCAATTGATAAAACTATATCATGTATATACCAAATAGGACCTGACATGAACTTGTGTCAAAATAAAGTTACTGATTTGTCTCTCTCGGTTGACTTGACATTTTGGGACAAGAAAAATTTCAATATGGTCCTAAACTTAGTTCCATAATTACATACACTTTAATTCCTGTTGAGACAAATTTAACTTATCTCAAATTAAATTTACAGTCTACAGGTCAAAGAAAAACAACAATTTATGTTTTTGAATGTTGCATTGATTTATGACATTCTTTACTGGAGATCAGCTTTTATAAATAGTCAACCACAACCAAGTGCTGAAAGTTATTGGTACATTTAAAAAAGATATGCAAAGTCAGAAGGACAGATTATCAAAAATTAAATTAAAGGAGAAAAAAGAAATGAATAAATGGGGAATGTGTCCATGGGACACAGATGATGCCCCTGCTTGCATATAATATAAAGTTATAAAGGGACATTACTGAAGAACAGTAAAAGTGATGCTGCCCAAATTTGTACTTGATCTAATTTTTGTGGTAATAAGTATTGTGTATAAGTTTCATAAAATTTGGTTGAGGCAAACTTAAGTTAGAGAACGGAAACGAAAAATCCAGCATTTTTTTCCATTTGTAAAGGGGCATAACTCTAGAACAGTAAAAGTGACTCCCCCAAAATTCAAACTTGATCTGTATTTTGTGGTAATAAGCATTGTGTATAAGTTTCATAACATTTGGTTGAGGCTAACTTAAGTTTGAGAACATAAACGAAAAATTCAGCAATTTTTCCATTTGTAAAGGGGCATAACTCTAAAACGGTTAAAGTGAAACCACCAAAATTCAAACTTGATCTTTTTTTTGTGGTAATAAGCATTGTGTATAAGTTTCATAACATTTGGTTGAGGCAAACTAAACTTCGAGAATGGAAACGAAAAATTCAGCAATTTTTCCATTTGTAAAGGGGCATAACTCTAGAACTATTCAAGTGACGCCATCAAAATTCAAACTTGATCTGTGAATTGTGGTAATAAGCATTGTGTATAAGTTTCATAACATTTGGTAAAGGCAAACTAAAGTTAGAGAACGGAAACCAACTTTGGGACGTACGTACGTACAGACGTACAGACAGACAAGGGTAAAACTTAATACCCCCTCCACTATGGCGGGGGCATTTAAAGGACTGGTGTCCTATTCAATCACATTCAACACTCTTTCTAGCTATTTCATGTTATTGGCCAACCATTTTGATCTTAATATTCATAAATTGATACTTGAAGTCTCCAGTTGAATCCAAGTAAATCTTTTAAAATGACTTCAAGATAACAAGCTTAAGTCAGTTGTATTAAACAAAGAGGACTAGAAGAAAACATTATATCGCAATATTTACTCTAAATGTGTCACGTATCTCTATTTTTGTAACATAATTATTTTTATGTAATTTCTGGTTGTGTCAACTTATTTCTTTCCTATTTCAACTGTATAAGCCTTATTTGAAAACCACTCCTTCTTGACAATGTTAAACATACCTGTAGAATGGACACTTCGTTTTTAAGTTGTGCTTCCTGTTTGTTAGGAAATCTCAATTTATCTATCACTTTAATAGCTACTTCTCTAACAGTTTTCCTGTGTTTACCTGAAAACAAATCAAAATAGTGCTTGTTCATATTAGTTGATGAGTTGAGAAAGACAAAAGTCTTATTTTGGACCAACTCTGAGACAGCTGTATAATTTCCATTTTTAGTTAGAGTGTAAATTTTCAGTAACATGAATATGTGTCCGGAGGAAACCATGCCTACTCTATCACATTTCATGTTCAGTGAACGGCAAATTTGAGGTCAAAATGCTCACTTGACATATGTGAAAAGTTCACATCATAATGAAAATGTGTTTTCATATTGATGTGATTACAGTTTCATACTACCTTAAACAAGTCAATGATAAGTTAAACTATAACCTTATATGGGATGGTGCACACATACACACATACAAGAAATCACAATGCCCCTACTATTGTATGGGATTGGATAATAAAGCTAAATTCATTTTGTTTGGAAAAATGAAGTTGCAAATGTAAGTTATCTATTTTAAATACTTTTTTTTATTTATTTATCATGTCATAACATCTGAACAATGCAAACATTTCAGTCACTGAAGCATGACTGCAGTGACATTGGCCTTATAATCTGCATGTAATTGAGATGTATGAATGTTAAGGTAACTATACTTCAAATATCAATTATGTATCAAAAGTACTTACTCTAATATTGACCTCATCATATAACTCAACACAAAGAAGTCTTAAAAGAACCCACACGTTATAAAACTTTTAATGTAAGAGTTACTACCAAAATTTTTCAAATCTTTTCATTTATTGAGAAACACTTTATAAAAAAATCAACTAATATATTATCACTTTGAAAAGTTAAGTGCCTAGAAATAGACTTCAGAAAGATAAAAATAAAGAAAAATAACTAAATGGTGTCATTTCATCTATTTGAATTATTTTTTTTCAATTAATATGAAGATGGAATAATGGAGTAAAAAGTAGCAGATGAGTGTGAATTAGTATCCAAATATAAAACATCTTGACCTAATTTTGTGTAAACACTTCCTCAATTCAAAATACATCTGTTTGTGTACTTCCAGTTAACTCAAGTATTGTGCCTCTTGTAACGCATTTGCCTAAACTTTCCATTTATAATTTTTTATGCATTTAAAAATACAATTTCTATGAGTTTTGATATGTAATTGAAAATATTTTGTAATTTAATCGAATGTTACAACAGGAAACGAAAAGCATTTCTTTTTACTTCCCTAAAGGCAAGAAAAAAAGATTATAATTTGTTTATGATTAGAATTATCAGTTGATCATGAAACACACAATTATAGATTCCCCCTTTACAATGTATCATACATACAATATGAAAGATATATCCACCATCTGTACCCCAATAAACACAAAAACTGCCAAAAAAACTGGTAATAAAACACAATCATCAAACATGCCATATTTTATTTTTTTCACAAGCAGATGACATAAAGTTGAACACCATTAACTACAAAGGATTAAATACAAGGTAAAAGTAAACAAGAGTGGTTTTGACTTAAAACAAAATTAAACAGTCAAGATTTTATTTAAGTACAGTATTTATCTGTGAAAGGAAGGATTTTCATTATGGCTGTTCATCTATTTATACATTTAGGTATCAAAGACAATGCAAGAAGTTTTAAATGCAATGAATAAGACAATAAATAGCTTACTATAAATATAATTTACAGTTAACAGTTCATACCTGTCTATTAAAGGTTTCAGAATTATTGGCAAAATTATAGAAATAAGAATAAACAAGAGTGCACACGCTGAAATGTCTCGCCTTCTTTACTAATCATTGATATTATGTTGATAGTCCTAAATATAAAGCTTTATTAAAACTGTCACATAAACTTAACATTAACCAAGTAAACTAAACATTGACCAATGAACCATGAAAATGAGGTCAAGGTCAGATGAACCATGCTAGGCAGGCATGTACAGCTAACAATTCTTCCATACAAAAAATATAGTTAACCTATTGCTTATAGTTTAAGAAAAACAGACCAAAACACAAAAACTTAACACTGAGCAATGAACCTTGAAAATGAGGTCAAGGTCTAATAAAACTTGCGTGACTGACATATAGATCATAAAATATTTCCATACACCAAATATAGTTGAACTATTGCATATAGTATTAGAAAAAAAGACCAAAACTCAAAAACTTAACTTTGACCACTGAACCTTGAAAATGAAGTCAAGGTCAGATGACACCTGCCAGCTAGACATGTACACCTCACAATCATTCCATACACCAAATAAAGTAGACCTATTGCATTCAGTATAAAAAAGACTAAACACAAAAACTAAACTATAACCACTGAACCATGAAAATGAGGTCAAGGTCAGATGACACCTGCCAGTTGGACATGTACACCTTACAGTCCTTCCATACACCGAATATACTAGACCTATTGCTTATAGTAGCTGAGATATGGACTTGACCACCAAAACTTAACCTTGTTCACTGATCCATGAAATGAGGTCGAGGTCAAGTGAAAACTGTCTGACGGGCATGAGGACCTTGCAAGGTACGCACATACCAAATATAGTTATCCTATTACTTATAATAAGAGAGAATTTAACATTACAAAAAATCTTAACTTTTTTTTCAAGTAGTCACTGAACCATGAAAATGAGGTCAAGGACATTAGACATGTGACTGACAGAAACTTCGTAACACGAGGCATCCATATACAAAGTATGAAGCATCCAGATCTTCCACCTTCTAAAATATAAAGCTTTTAAGAAGTTAGCTAACGCCGCCGCCGGATCACTATCCTTATGTCGAGCTTTCTGCGACAAAAGTCACAGGCTCGACAAAAAAATCATCATTTAAGGGCAATCAATCCAAAAAAAAATATGACAATTCAGCCAAGTTAACTAACTTATTTTGTTGTTAGTTTTTGCTTTTAAAGTTTCTCTATCCACTATAGTTTTGACAAAAATGGGTAAGGGGAAAAAGTCCTATAAAGAGTCGGTTGACAATTTTGGACACATTAAGTTATTTGAAGATCTTATTGTCCTAAACATTTTTGCTATTAACTGGTCCTCTCAATCTATTATAGTTTCCCAAAATTACACAAAAATGGGTAAAAATCATCTTCCAAGAGCAATAACTCCTCTGATAGATCAATAGATGATTTCATCGATGTTAAATTATTTGTAGATCCTATTTTACTGAACATATTGCTAGATATTGTTGATCTCTTTCTCTATCATAGTCTCTGTAGCAGCCACAGAGGGAAAACAGATGATGAAAATGGATGCCATGTGATAGCAAAAACGAATATGACCTATTAGGCCAGGTGAGCTAAAAATGATAATTGTACATGTGTTAATCTTACCTCCATATACAATACCAAACTGTCCGGAGCCTAATACATCATCAGGATATATCTGATATAGCTGACTTATATCCTGTTCTTCTTCCTTGTTCATACCATTCTCTGATGATGTATCTAGAAATATCACAGGTAGTTTTAAAAATAAACTTCTTTCTAGGACTTGGTTAAAATATTGTTCTGACATCACTAAACTATTGTTTTAAAAGTTATTCATATCACAGAAAGTCTAACTACAACCAAGAAAGATTCTTATTACACAAAAAACGGGTCAGTAAATTAAAGTGTATTCCTGGTAAATATTCAAAAGTCACATTCCTTAGAAATGTCAAATCAAAATAACTACACAAGTGCTAAGTATTAAGAAGATTTAATTCACGATAAATATATAAATGTCAGCTGTCTGGTACAGATACATCTTAGTGAAACATGCACACATGAGAAGAACAGATCCGTTTCTGACTGTGCCTAACTTTATTACAGTCCACCTTCCAAAAATAGTAAATCCTAAGTATTAGGTAAATTAGTTCCCAGCAAATATACAAATGTCACATCTCTGACACAGAAACCCCTTATTAAAACATCCTTTTCTGACAGTGCTCAACTATATTCTAGCCCACCTCAAAAACAATTTTCCTCATTATTTTCTGCTTGTGATTATGATACTAATTTTTTTCCATCTTTAATCTGCAGAATATTTGGTGATCAATAAAAGTGTTTTCAAAATAATGCACGTATTCATTTAACATGTAAGGACTGGCATGACTTGTAGTAAGTGTTATAATGATAGCTTACTTCCTACAACACTGGATGTTGGTGTTACTGGCATCAGTGCCTGTCTGATAGCATGTTCCCAATACTTGGCTTGTTCTAATCCAACACCACTTTCAGGAGATGCAACAATATCCCCCTCTCTGCCTCCAAAAGTCGGGTCCTCACCAATGAAGTATACTGTGGAATTGACCCTCATCTCAAAAACATGTGGTCCTTTGTTTGGGTCTGCATTTGGTCGTATTTTGGCTGGTTCTATGTTTACAATATGTGATAATGGAATCTCCTACAAAATTAAAGGAATCCATAAACTCATATCTCTTTGAATGAGATCTACCAAGTATAACATTAATCTATCTTTTAGTAGCTGATATTTACCAAACATTAACTTACTTTACATTGTAGTATCTTTGTATGAGATTTACAAAGCTCTAAGCTATTTTTTTTCTTTCAGTGCCTGATATTAACCAAGCACAAAGTTATTTTACCTTTCAATATCTGATATTTACCAAACATTAACTTACTTTACATTGTAGTATCTTTGTATGAGATTTACCAAGCATTAACTTATCTGACACTGTAGTATTGTGTATGAGATTTACAAAGCTCTAAGTTTTTGTACCTTGTAGTATCTTTGTATTAGATTTACAAAGCACCAAGTTATTTTACCTTCTAGTATCTTTGTGTTAGATTTACCAAGCATTAACTTATTTCTTATTGTGGTACCTTTGTATGAGAGTTCTAATCTATTTTACCTTCTAGTATCTTTGTATTAAGTAATCTTACCTTGTAGTATCTAGGTGAGTCTTCTTTTTGAAATAATGTAATGCATTTTGAATCCAATCTCCAATAGTATCTCTTCCTCTGTAAGATATGGAAGCAAAAATTAAGGGTATTACATTATTATGTGAGAAATTAATTTATGTGCTGATTGAATTCTTGAAGTCACATAATGTAAGGGAACAGTTTCAAGGAAACTAATTCTCATGGTCAGAATATAACAATTGCTTGTTTAAGTTGGAATCATTTCCAACATTGTAAGATTTAGTAGAATTGGTGAAAGTAAATAAATTTTTTTGAAAAACTTGAAACAAATACTATGTAATCAAGAGCAACTAGTAATTTTCAAATGACAAATAAAAATCAAATGCTTTGTCATGTATAATAACATCAGTTAACAAATGACATTAAAGTCAAAATAATCACTGATAATACTTAAAGAAACACCTAAAACTAAGGAACATCAATTAGTGAATACCCCAAATTAGATAACATTAATTATACTTGATGTTAAAATGCTCGTATTGTACTGGTTAATACAAGGGCGACATTCTACTCTAACAAATGGTTCAGTGGGTAACAATTTTGTTTAAAGTTAATCTCTCATGCAAATCAATCAATTAATAATTGAAAAGATAAAACAAGAGTGCACACGCTGAAATGTCTCGCCTTCTTTACTAATCATTGATATTATGTTGATAGTCCTAAATATAAAGCTTTATTACAACTGTCACATAAACTTAACATTAACCAAGTAAACTAAACATTGACCAATGAACCATGAAAATGAGGTCAAGGTCAGATGAACCATGCTAGGCAGGCATGTACAGCTAACAATTCTTCCATACAACAAATATAGTTGACCTATTGCTTATAGTTTAAGAAAAACAGATGAAAACACAAAAACTTAACACTGAGCAATGAACCTTGAAAATGAGGTCAAGGTCAAATAAAACCTGCGTGACTGACATATAGATCATAAAATATTTCCATACACCAAATATAGTTGAACTATTGCATATAGTATTAGAAAAAAAGACCAAAACTCAAAAACTTAACTTTGACCACTGAACCATGAAAATGAGGTCAAGGTAAGATGACACCTGCCAGCTAGACATGTACACCTTACAATCATTCCATACACCAAATATAGCTGACCTATTGCATGCAGTATTAGAAAAAAAGACCAAAACTCAAAAACTTAACTTTGACCACTGAACCATGAAAATGAGGTCAAAGTCAGATGACACCTGCCAGCTAGACATGTACACCTTACAATCATTCCATACACCAAATATAGTAGACCTATTGCATACAGTATAAGAAAAACAGACCAAAACACAAAAACTTAACTATAACCACTGAACCATGAAAATGAGGTCAAGGTCAGATGACACCTGCCAGTTGGACATGTACACCTTACAATCATTCCATACACCAAATATAGTAGACCTATTGCATACAGTATAAGAAAAACAGACCAAAACACAAAAACTTAACTATAACCACTGAACCATGAAAATGAGGTCAAGGTCAGATGACACCTGCCAGTTGGACATGTACACCTTACAGTCCTTCCATACACTGAATATACTAGACCTATTGCTTATAGTATCTGAGATATGGACTTGACCACCAAAACATAACCTTGTTCACTGATCCATGAAATGAGGTCGAGGTCAAGTGAAAACTGTCTGACGGGCATGAGGACCTTGCAAGGAACGCACATACCAAATATAGTTATCCTATTACTTATAATAAGAGAGAATTTAACATTACAAAAAATCTGAACTTTTTTTTCAAGTAGTCACTGAACCATGAAAATGAGGTCAAGGACATTGGACATGTGACTGACTGAAACTTCGTAACATGAGGCATCCATATACAAAGTATGAAGCATCCAGGTCTTCCATCTTCTAAAATATAAAGGTTTTAAAAAGTTAGCTAACGCCGCCGCCGCCGGATCGCTATCCCTATGTCGAGCTTTCTGCGACAAAAGTCGCAGGCTCGACAAAAATTGATTTTAAATAATTAACTTTAAAGACAAAAATTGAAGAGAAAATTATTTCATTTTTAAAATCATTTAGAATTTTAAAATAATTTAGAATAAAAGAACATTTAGTATCTTGAATAAAACAAGCATTCTGACGGATAGACAGACAGACAGACGGACGGAGTGCAAACTTAAAGTCCCCTTTGACTTCGTCGGAAGGAGACTAATAACACATAGCTAAAAGGGTGAAAGTGTAGATTTTTACCTCTAGAAAAACATTCTAAACCTTCGTTTTGCCTTTGTTGACAATGTTTTCTCTAGGTAACAATCTGCTCAATCACCCTCTCAGCTATGTGTTATTTATTTAACATTATACATATCCAAATAATGATTTTTTTTTTTACATAAGAATACCAATTTCTTATATCATTCAACAATAAGGTCACTTGGGAGTGTTGTCAAAGATATGTACATTTTTATGATTAACATATTTCTTAAAGACTCTGAGAATGTGATGAATTGTGCAATCATAATTGCAAGTTATACATGCATGTTGTATATCTAAGCAATTTATTTTTTCTTAAAATGAAAATAAAGTATACCACTGGATCATTTTGAGTAAAGTGAACCATCCACCCTGCTTTCATAACCTTTGATCCCGTTCTTTTGGTGTGTTTGACAGATTGGTAGATTCTCATTAATGGAATGTTACTGCTTTGTGTAGGACTGTAAATAAATAACAAAACCTGTTCATATTTAACATTTTTCTGTCTCACAAAAAAAAGATAGTCTTGCCTCATTATTCAAACATTGTAATGTCAAGAACAAATTAGCAGCTGGTAGATTCAAATTCATGAAAAAAATAAGTATATCTTATTTGAATTTTCCAACAGTTTTCGTGTTTGAAAATGGGAGACACATGTTGATTTTGTAAATAATGTCTAGTTCCTAATATCAATATCCTGGCTTTGTGGTTTCTATAATTCAATTGAGTTTTCATAAAGTTAAGAATATAGATGATAATTAAACAATATTAATTAAATATGAAAAAGCACATTTAATTCAGTAAAAAATTTAGGGCTGTTCCTTTGCACAATACCCCAGGAAGGCACTTTGACAATGAGGTAACAACCTACAAAGGCAAGTTTAAGCCCGGGCAGCACTATTGATTTTAAGTAGAAAATAAATCCACAAGATCCCTCAGGATAATTCAGGCCATGTTTGGTGCCAACTGGACCACGACCCCAAACAAGATAACCCTCTTTTATTACCTAAGAGGGGGTTTCTGTTGAGTATTGTCCTCATCATCTTCTTCTTGTAGAGGCATTTCATCCTCCTGTATATCTGTATAATTAGTATCAACAGAGCCATCCATTTCAGATGTTATACTCTGTTCTTGGCTTACTGAAGAAATAAATAATCACTGTTAGTAAAAAATAAACTGCAAAACAAAAGCATCCCCTCCAAACGAAACATTATGACAAGGACTATGACTTAGTCCAAATATTTGTCATTTATTTCATTAGAAGACTGCTAAAGATTTCTTTCCTACCTCGAAGGATGGGTTATTTTATGCCATGTTCTATTCTTTGAATTTTCATTTCAACAATCAGATAACAATGATGTCATCATAATTAACAAAATTGAATATTGAAATTTAACATTGCACCAACAATCAACTATCCTAATTCTGTATTGACTCCTATTCATTATTATGAGATTCAAAGTCAGATGAAAAGTGTTTTTTTCAGGAATAATCTAATTAAAATTATCATTTTGAAGAATTAAATCTATGAGAGCAATTCCAAATTAGAATCAAAGTGTTTCATTCCAACCTTCATTCCTGGACTGCAAACATAGTGATTTTTTTAAGTTACATGGTGGACTCTGCTGAAAAATGATGAACATTATTTTCTTGATTCTGGCACTTAAAATAAGTTTGTAGTTAATAAAATGTCTAAGCTATTAAGAATTACTTACATCCCACTTTTGGTAATTCCCCTGCACAGTCCTTTGGAACTTGTGGCGCACATTTCTTGTGACAATTAAACTTGCAATCTGAAAAAAAAATATTACAATATTATGTATGGGACATGGGGTGAGGGGTTTAAAAAAATGATAAAATAAAGAAATTTGAACTGATTCAAATACACATAAAGGGATAATGCTGACTAAATTTGAAGTCCTTTTGTTCAGTGGTTTTTGAGAACAAATTTGACGAAAATGTTTGACAGACACAAACAAACAGTCAGACAGACAGACTCCATGGAAATGAGATGTGCCAATGCTAATACAACTTCAAGCCAAATATCACTGACTTACCGTAATTGGTTATCCTTAAACTGAACTAATCAGATAATGTGGATTCATTATAATTTGTGGGATAGCAATTTTCATTAATTTCATGGGTTAATCTGTTTAGAAGAAGACGAAAATAATATTTTCTAAAGGCTTTTCTGCAGACAATGGTTAAACCATGAAATCAAATATCCACGAAAATGGAATTTTTCAACAATCCACAAAAATAAATGTATCCACAGTACTTTAACAAATTGTTGATACTGTTGTTGTCGCTGGAAACAGCACATCTAAATCCTGCCTTTCGCAACTTCTTTGAAGCTATATAAAAATGACTACCCCTATTGTAAATCAAGCAATGTTCATGTTCTGCTTTGAAAAAACCCTAATTATTTTATATAATTAGGACAAAAAAATTAAAGGCTCAATGCAATAAGATACTATATAGATTCTTTGAATATTCAACTTAAATAAGAGTTGTGGACACTTAATTTTATGTTTTTCATTCATGTAATATGATGTTCACAGAGAAATAAATTATAAATTCAAATGACTGCAAAAATAAAGTCCCAGCTATCAGTTTTCAGGACTACAAAATTCCATCTGAACTTTGTTGGAAAATGAAAAATTGCTGAAAGGTGACCTCAGGATGCCTTCTTCTCCATCTTTTCTTACCAAGACTGACCATTATTTCAGCATAATCAATGCTGGATATAACATGATTCTACAATTACCCATCACTCTATATTTATATATATTCATTTTCACCAATTTTATATGAAATGAAATATAATCTGGAGATTATTGTCAATACAATACCTAATTGTTCATGATAGAATGAAATCCTATACTTAATAAAAAAAAATCTCTTAATTGAAAAAGTTATCACATGGCATTTTCTCAATGTTGAAAGCTTTATTATGAGCTATAGATCCTTAAATCCACTTTGGTCTCTTATGGTCAGTTGACTCATTGGCAAACATACCTCATCTTATTTTTATATTAAGGACTCATTTGTGTATTGAAATTTAGTCCCAAAATTGAATAACTTTGTATAGTCCAAAAAAGGGATGTATAAAAATAAGAAGATTGGTATAATTGCCAATGAGACAACTCTCCTTCAGAGACCAAATGACTTAACAGTCTTCAACAATGAGCAAAACCCATACCACATATGTATAATTGTTTGGCATAAACATGAACACATGTCAACATATGCTAAAATGAGCAATCTTAGTCACATCATTTTAAAAATACTTTTTATCATGAAATCACATTTTTTTGTTTTTGGGATTTTAATATTTATATACAGTATACATCAGTTTATAGTTTTCATTCTTTTCACAATGGCAAAGATTATGGCTAGCACATACAATCATTTAACCAAACATTGTGCCATACTGTATACTGTGAATTCATTTATTTTCATGGATACCAATTTTCACTAATTGAAGAAAAAATGTAGTTTCAAAGATATTTGATTACCCGGTAAGTGGTTTTGTTGGCTAAGTCTTCATTGATGCCTTCAGTAAATTAAGTTAGAAAACGGAAACGAAAAATTCGGCAATTTTTCCATTTGTAAAGGGGCATAACTCTAAAACGGTTAAAGTGACGCCACCAAAATTCAAACTTGATCTGTGTTTTGTGGTAATAAGCATTGTGTATATGTTTCATAACATTTGGTTGAGGCAAACTAAAGTTAGTGAACGGAAACCAACTTTGAGACGAACAGACGGACGGACGTACGTACAGACGGACAAGGGTAAAACTTAATGCCCCCTCTGCTACGGCGGGGGCATAAAAAAAATGTACTTTGTTGAACAATAAAGTATATGGTTTACCTATCCCTAGGAAATCCAGGAAAATTGGTATCCCGCAAATAATAATAAATCAACAGTACTTATACATACCTTTACATTGTACTCCCTGTCTAAACAGGCCCTTTAAAAGTTTTCTACACCACTGACAAATTGTTGGTCTTGTGTAATTGTGCACAACAAATGTATGAGGCACTTTAATTCGACCTAAGACCTCTCTTTCCATCCAAATTGGTCGGCCACTCCAAGATTTGGAACGATTACTGCGTGCATCTCCTCCTAAACTCAAAGACAAGGATGGCTGGCCAGAGACCATAAGTGCCTAAAAAACAAAAAATTAAAAACAAAAACAAAATATATTTATGGCTAAGAACAAAAGTAAAAAAAATAAATAATAAATATTGTAAATTTTCCTTTTTACGATAATTATGTCAAGTGGGCTTAGCAGAAACAAATTTAAGGTAATCATTTTAATTACAACTACATGTATTTCTTTGTATTCAATCTTCAAGTGTGATCATTATCTATACTATATATTTCATACTGTCCTGAGTTTAGAAAATTACTACAATTTATCCAATTCTTGCCCAATGTTTCATTATCAAACTTGGGGGAGTGTGGACATAAAGAAGTATGTGAGGTGAGAGCTCTATTGGGATCCCAATATTGATGAAAAAAATCAGTGTTAAAAGCTGATGCATAAATATTTGAAAACAGGAAACAGAACAGGAACAAATAGAGCTGAGGGTTTGACAAACTAAATATTCAAGTCAGATAGGTTATTTGTTATAACAAGCATATGATAAAAGATATTTTTGCCAACACATGTGTATATGTTAATGTCCTTAAAAATTATTGAAATTGGCATGTTTTCATTGAATTTGGTGGAATGTTATGCTAATTTTGTTGTCATAATCTGCACACCCTTTTTTTTGCCACAGAAATTCAGGTTAAAAATCGTTTTGTCACTTGTTGAAAATGTCTGGCGAAACTCCCATCATTTCAAGTCATGTGCGATCATTTGCAGTATTTTCAGGGAAAAACCTGATATCCATCATCAAGTAGAAAGTGAAAATATTTGTAAAGGATTCTAGAACACTTCATCAGTGTTAAAATAAGCCAATCACAACAAAAAACAACTTAAATAGTTGTATTTGTCATTAACTGGAAAAAGCAAAAGAACATGTAAATTTCAAACAAATATGGTGAGAGTGAGCAAAAATTCTGTACTGATTAGATATTACAAAAGAATACAACTTTGAAATTATAACAGTGCCATACTTTAGTAAAACATGGTTATATTTAAATTTGGAGTTAATGATCACAAACATTACAGGACTGATTTGGGTAGCTGTATATGTTCCAGATTTGTCAATTCCTTATATATCCCAGAAAAATGATGGTAAACTGACTGACTGAAAAAACAATTTATTTTCATTTTTAAGTCATCCTCAGTTTATCTGCATACTTCAAAAACAGCAGAATTTCGTTGAGAATGTAATTGGTTTAGTATACCTTTCATTTGAATTAAAAAAATCCTTAAGAATTCAGTTTCATGATATGTCAAAAGTTGATGATTCCAAAGATAGGAAATCTATAGATTTATTCAGTTCAATACAGGTTATGTCTATCATTAAGTTGTGCATAATAAAATAATATTACAACTGCCAATTTTACATTTCTTTGTCTATTTTTGTTATCATTACAATTAATGGATAAAATAAATGACATGGATTGCTATTTTTCATCATAAATCCCTTTATTTTTACTAATTCATATTGACTTTAAGCATAAGAAGTGACTGGATATTTTGTAAGATTTAAGCCATTTGAATGCAAGTGGCATGGTAGATTTTTAATGATGAAGCTGCATCCTTACAATCTTTACAATAATATTAATGCAAACTTTCAAAATCAGTTACCATTCCTAATTTATAGTTACAATAATAAGTTACCATTCCTAATTTAAAGTGTTAAATCAGTTACCATTCCTTATTTATAGTAAAAAAAATCAGTTACCATTTTTAACTTTGTTATAAAATAAGTAACCATTCTTAATTTAGGTTACAAAATCAGTTACCATTCCTAATTTGATGTTACAAAATCAGCTACCATTTCTTATTTAAAGTTATCAAATTAGTTACCATTACTAATTTAAAGTTTTAAGATCAGTTACCAATCCTAATTTAAAGTTACTAAATCAGTTACCATTCCTAATTTAAAGCAACAAATCAGTTACTATTTCTAATTTAAAGTTATAAAATCAATAACCATTCCTAATTTAAAGTTACAAAATAAGTTACCATTCCTAATTTAAAGCAACAAATCAGTTACCATTTCTAATTTAAAGTTATAAAATCAGTTAGCATTCCTAATTTAAAGCAACAAATCAGTTACCATTTATAATTTAAAGTTATAAAATCAGCTTGCATTCCTAATCTTATGTTACAAAATCAGTTACCATTTCTAATTCAAAATTACAAAATCTGTTAGCATTCTTTATTCAATGTTACAGAATCAGGTGCCATTCCTCATTTAAAGTTATAAAATCTGTTACCATATCTAATTGAATGTAACAAAATCAGTTACCATTCCTAATTTAAAAGTAAAAACTATAAAATCAGTTACCATTTCTAATTTAAAATTACAAAATCAGTTATCATTTCTAATTTCTATAGTTACAAAATAAGTTACCATTCCCAATCTATAGTAATAAAATCAATTACCATTCCTAATTTAGAATTAAACAAGAGTGCACACGCTGAAATGTCTCACCTTCTTTACTAATCATTGATATTATGTTGATAGTCCTAAATATAAAGCTTTATTACAACTGTCACATAAACTTTACATTAACCAAGTAAACTAAACATTGACCAATGAACCATGAAAATGAGGTCAAGGTCAGATGATCCATGCTAGGTAGGCATCTACAGCTAACAATTCTTCCATACAACAAATATAGTTGACCTATTGCTTATAGTTTAAGAAAAACAGACCAAAACACAAAAACTTAACACTGAGCAATGAACCTTGAAAATGAGGTCAAGGTCAAATAAAACCTGCGTGACTGACATATAGATCATAAAATATTTCCATACACCAAATAAAGTTGAACTATTGCATATAGTATTAGAAAAAAAGACAAAACTCAAAAACTTAACTTTGACCACTGAACCATGAAAATGAGGTCAAGGTCAGATGACACCTGCCAGCTAGACATGTACACCTTACAATCATTCCATACACCAAATATAGTAGACCTATTGCATACAGTAGAAGAAAAACAGACCAAAACACAAAAACTTAACTATAACCACTGAACCATGAAAATGAGGTCAAGGTCAGATGGACATGTACACCTTACAGTCCTTCCATACACCGAATATACTAGACCTATTGCTTATAGTAGCTGAGATATGGACTTGACCACCAAAACTTAACCTTGTTCACTGATCCATGAAATGAGGTCGAGATCGAGGTCAAGTGAAAACTGTCTGACGGGCATGAGGACCTTGCAAGGTACGCACATACCAAATATAGTTATCCTATTACTTATAATAAGAGAGAATTTAACATTACAAAAAATCTGAACTTTTTTTTCAAGTAGTCACTGAACCATGAAAATGAGGTCAAGGACATTGGACATGTGACTGACGGAAACTTCGTAACATGAGGCATCCATATACAAAGTATGAAGCATCCAGATCTTCCACCTTCTAAAATATAAAGCTTTTAAGAAGTTAGCTAACGCCACCGCCGGATCACTATCCCTATGTTGAGCTTTCTGCGACAAAAGTCGCAGGCTCGACAAAAATCAGTTACCATTCCTATTTTATAGTAATACAAGAGTGCACACACTGAAATGTCTCGCCTTCTTTACTAACCATTGATTTTATGTTGATAGTCCTAAATACAAAGCTTTACTACAAGTAACACATAAACTTAACATGATCCAAGAAAATGATGTCAAGGTCAGATAAACCAAACGAGAAATACATGTACACCTTACAATAATTCAATAAACCAAACAAAGTTGACCTATTGCTTATTGTTTCTAAGAAACAGTCTTAAACAAGAAAACTTAACATTGACCAATGAACCATGAAAATGAGGTCAAGGTCAGATGAACCATGCCAGACAGACATGTACACCTTACAATCCTTCCATACATCAAATATAGTTGATCTATTGCTTATAGTTGAAGAAAAACAGACGAAAACACATAAACTTAACACTGAGAAAAGAACCGTGAAAATGAGGTCAAGGTCAAATAAAACCTGTGACACTGACATGTACATCATAAAATATTTCCATACACCATTCATAGTTGACCTATTGTATATAGTATTAGAAAAAAAGACCAAAACTCAAAAACTTAACTTTGACCACTGAACCATGAAAATGAGGTCAAGGTCAGATGACACCTACCAGTTGGACATGTACACCTTACAATCATTCCATATACCAAATATAGTAGACCTACTGCTTATAGTAACTGATATATGGACTTGACCATGAAAACTTAACCTTGTTCATTGATCCATGAAATGAGGTCGAGGTCAAATGAAAATTGTCTGACGGGCATAAGGACCTTGCAAGGTATGCACATACTAAATATAGTTATCCTTTTACTCATAATAAGAAAGAAATTAACATTACAAAAAATGTTGACTTTTTTTCAAGTAGTCACTGAACCATGAAAATGAGGTCAAGGACAATGGACATATGACAGACGGAAACTTCGTAACATAAGGCATCTATATACAAAGTATGAAGCATCCAGGTCTTCTAGCTTCTAAAATATAAAGCTTTTAAGAAGTTAGCTAACGCCGCCGCCGCTGGATCACTATCCCAATGTCGAGCTTACTGCGACAACAGTCATAGGCTCGACAAAAATCAGTTACCATTTCTAAGTTAATGGTACAAAATCAGTTACCATTCCTAATTTAAAATTACAAAATCAGTTACCATTCTGATTCTAAGTTTTTATTGAAATTAGAAGGGGTATAGAACTTACAAAACAAGCATGTTTACTTCATCTTTATTGAAAATAATTAATGTCTGATGTTTACATAATATTTGGATTTCACTTGATTTCATAAAAATATACCAGTAAAAGATCTGTTTCACTTTCTTTATATATAACAAAACATATTTTAAAATCCAATTATCTATAAACAATGGATCAGACATTTGTTTGTCTCCAGGCTAGATCTAATCACGTACTAATTATCATGATGGATATTAACACCTGGTCTAAGCTTCCAAGAACAGGTGACAAATAATGATCTAATACACAGACAGACACTTAGTCAATATCCAGCCATCTGTAATATCATTTCATTGATTTTTCTACCTAGCTATTAATGCCATGTAAGCTAGCTTTCACTTTTAGTGATCCAGGGCTGTGATTGCTTTAATTAAGAACTCAGATATTGGTCACTTAATGATCCTACATCACTGACAATACATGGTGTTCTTCATTTATATGAATTTACAATGTTGATATTGACTTTACATAATGTGCCAAGACCGTGAACTTCATGTTGACAGAAAAAGTTTTAAAACTGCACAATTTTTATTATTCAATTTCAACATCAATTTTTTTTTAAAGAGGAATTATTCTGTCAGTCAGAAATACTGTGGATTCACATGCATTCCGTTTTTTTTTTAGAGGGGATTCTGATTAACTTGGAGATCTATTTAATTGACTGGCAAAACTTATATTTTACCATTTCTTTCTGTCCATACAAACAAAAAGTATCATGTATAAACACTAAATAGCCAATAAAAAAAATATATATTCATATTAAGATCTTTGTTGTTATTGCATTGCTGATTTTTTTCTGTTGTCAGTTTCTCTCTATCTGCTATATGATGTTAGCACAAAATACAAAACAAAATGGGTAAAAAGTCTTTCTGTATCTAATATGGTTTCAACAAAATATGCAAAAATTAGGTAAAAATCAGCTTTAAAGTGCAATAACTTCTATAAGGAGTAGACTGACAATTTTAGGCCATGTTGATATATTTACAGACTTGCTTATCATTTAAAATTATCATCAAGGGCCATAACTACAGTAAGGAGTCAACCAACAATTTCTGCCATTAGGACAAATTTGCAGATCTTGTCATGTCGATCATTTTAGCTGTTTACAATGTTTCTTTTTCTACTATATTTTAGGCTAAAACTGCAAAAATTGGTAAAAATTGTCATTGAGGGGCAAGAACTCCTATAAGGAGTTGTCATGACAATTTCAGCCATGTTGAAAAATATGTAGATCTTCTCCTAGCAATAACTTTTTCTCTTGAAAAAGAGAGGTGGAAGATACCATAGGGATATTCAAACTCAGTTTCTTTTTATCTATTAATAGTTCTAAAGATAATAAGCAAAAATGCCAAAAAAATTGGAGGGGGGCCTGAAATTTCGGCCTGCTGGCTTAATATTTGTAGAACTTGACTTGCTAAACATTTTTTTCAAAATAATAGGCAAAAACAATGGAAAAAAAGAAAATCATTATTTAACAGCAATAACTCCTTTAGGAGTTGTCTGACAGTTTTGATGTAAATGGACAGTAGGCAGATCTCAAAATTCTAATCTTATTATCACCTGTCAAGTTCATTCTATCGATAGTGGTTTTTAAGATAAAAGACAATGCTTGCATTTTATACCTATTAAGAAACCTGCAGTACCTATAGAAAGCTTTTTTTGTTACCTTCATTGATTGCTTTTCATCATTTAACTCAGAAATACAAGCTCAAGTACCCGATAAAGTAACAGTGTAACTGTGTCCTTGAAATTTAAACTTGAAACTAAAGCAGACTTGCTCTTGTCCTGGCAATGCAGGTTAACACTGGTTAAGACACCATGTTTAAAGTGAACTTATTTAAAGCTGATTGACATATCGCCAATGTTTTTATTAGCTGACATTCTACAGTTAATGATATAAAAGACTTGCACAAGGTTCTTAGAAAACATCTTAAGGTCAGATGAATGTCAACATCATGTAATTGCTGTCTCTCATGGCCTTATAACAATCAATACAGGTGGGAAGAGAAGATCATAAAAATGGCAAACATGTTTTGTTATGTTGTTTCATCAGACAACTCTTGTGCCAGGATCATTTTCGTTTCAATTTATCCTGCGTAATATTTAGTAAATGTTTTAAAACAGGTAGATTACTTACTTATATCTATGAAGAAAAAAAAAATGACTTTATTACATAACATAACTGGTTTGGGATATGTGTATAGATTGAAATATGTCTCAATAATATCAGTTATGAGGAACATAAAAATATTCCCTAGACTTCGAAAATTGAATTTGTTTTTTTGAACTGACTAAAGGGATTTTATTTGTTAAATTGCTAAATGTGCTAACTAAATCATATCATGGAGTATAATGAGGAGATGTGTATGATTGCCAATCAGACAACTATCCAGCATGGACTAAATGACAAAGATATCAATAACTTTGAGGTTTTTTTTATTTGATTTAATAGGGATTAATCAAAAGTAATTTTTTGTCTATTTATTGCTGATGGCAGATCTTTAATAGTCTCTGTTATTCATAACTTCATTAGGTCAGCTCACTTCAGAGGTTGACAGTTTGCATAGAAATCGGTCAATGTTGATGGATGGGTGGAAGGATGGATGGCTTTTTAACGTCCAGTGGCAAATTATATGCATATTCAGGACAAGAGCATGATAATATGATATGAGTATAAAATCCTGCTTTGTACTAATTTTTATGAGTCCTCTCCATTACACAACAGTATAAGTTGTTTGACTCACAGTCCATTTCTCTTAACAAGGAAAAAGTTTTAACAAGTTGTTTGTATAATGGCTATGTATGAATGATAAAGCAAATTTCTTTCTAACTACTGTCCTTATTTCCTAACAATGACATTAACCAGCACAACAAAATATTCACAACACTATTTAAAATAGCTTATACCTCTGTGAAAGGCTCAAAATATAACTCAATAAAAAATTATTTATATGCAGAACATCAAAAGCAAAATAAGCATAAAACAAAGAGCAGCCATCCCTTGAATATCTGTAATCACTGAATTGTGAAACTGTACTATTTCAAACACTCAGATTGACTTCCCAACCACTTGGTATTCTAGATCACTGAACAATCTTATTAACCTTTGACATAAACCGGTAAAAGAATTAAGATATTCCTTATGATTTTACGTAAAAGGCAATATGTAAATACATGTATACCAAACTTTTTCATAAGCACAAGTGGCAAATAAAACAAAAAAAAGATTTCTTGTTTCAAAATTCCAATAGGGAACATATATTACATTATTGTAGTAAATAAACAATTTTTTTAAGACGTTTCTGCCACTGGCCTTCTTCAGTTTCTTTATTATCCTTCTTCACTTCATGGTAGACATTTTACTTTCACAATCATTAAAATGGTAAAAAAAAAAAGATGTTAAATTTGAAAAGTGGCTGAAAAGTTTCCAATAGATAAACTTGATAAACTGCATGAAACAAACTAAATACAAAGGACGTGAATAGAACAGCGTATCAAATAGCATTGGTCTATTGTAAATAGATGCTCTTCTTCAACAAAACAACTAATAAAAAATCCTTTACATCAATACATTGTAAAATTGAGTTTTGGTCACTGCTGCATCATTGTACTATAGAACTTTCTTAAAAACTTAATATAGAGAAATATCATACATTGTAACAGAAGCTTCTCAAAACTGGACCTAAATGCAAAAAAAAAAATTGTTCTCTACAGAGACTGCTGTGGGAATATTTCAGATAAACAATCTTAGGTTCCTGAGAAATCAACTAAATGCAAAGCTTGTCACTTAAGTTTAAACAGAACTTCATAATGATCTGAATGTTGCTAGCTAAACACTTAATAAGAAAACTGTGAATATCCTTTCCAAAATTCTAATAATTTTTTTAATAGGAACTAATGGTGACAGGTCAAATATAGTTCTGTTCACCTAAAAAAGTAGCAAAAGAGAACCTAATGTATGATTTTGACAAACTAGAAATTATATATATATATATCTGTAGAGGAATACTCTAGAAACTTGCAGTTATGACAAATGCAGGTATACAAAATTTATTCGAATTTTCCTATTGAAGATTACAATAAAATACCCAAAGCATACAACTTCTGTAAATAGCCTTTTACTGTAATAACTACATCTTGTTAACATGTTAGAAATCATGTTTTATAAGTCTTACTTTAGACAACAAAATGAAATGGATATTCTATCACTATTTTATCTTTTCTTCTAAGTTTACTTACACAATTTTATTTATGCAGACCAATGAATTGTTTTTATGACAGTAACCTTATGACCTTTTTTAGGTTTCAGAAATACATGTACATATTATATGTATATCAAAAATAGTATAACAAAGCTATTTATAGAATAATGCAAAACTAATGATATCCACATTACAACAAATGACAACATTGAGTAATGTAATATGGATATCTTACGTATGGTATTCCTGATTCTACCTGTGCTGTGCCTTCCACTGCTAGGGAATCACATTTCTCTCTCACTGGGTTGGGATATGTGATACTACTGGATGATGGTCTCCGCTGTCTATCATATGAGCAATTATTTGGAATCTTAAAGGCACAACGTTTATGGAAATTCAAGCCACAACCTACAAAATTATCATATAGTATTTAAGACAAGTAATTGAATAGAGTAGGCTTAATATCGAACATTTCAACACACTGAATTTTGCAGTAAATTTCATTGAAAGGTATCAAGATTTAACAAATATATTGTCCTTTCAAATTATTAAATAATCAGCAAGACGTTTACTTCTGGCTGGCTTTAATTTGTGAAACAGAAATATCGAGTGCATGAAAAACAAGAGGCTCTCAAGAGCCTGAATCGCTCACCTGTAATTTTTTGCTTAAATCATTCATCAATGATTATTTTTGATTTTCTATATATATTAATGAGTGTCTTAAAAATGCCATTTAAATGTTCTTTGTATCTGACATAATTTCTTCAAAAGCAAAAAATAGCATTTTACCCCTATGTTCCATTTTAGCCATAGTGGCTATGTTTCTTGATGTACAAGGAAATAAAACACAAAATTTATACAAGATACTCTGAAACTCATTCAGCCCAAGTTTGGCTGAAATTGATTCAGCAGTTTCAAAGGAGAAGATGTTTTAAAGTAAGCAAACTAGATTAGATGAACAGATTGTGAAAAATTGTCTTTAAAGGACAATAACTCCTTAAGGGGTCAATTGACAATTTTGGTCATACAAAACTTATTTGTAGATCTTACTGTGCTGAATATTTTTGCTGCTTACAGTTTATCTTTATCTATAATAATATTCAAACTGCAAAATTTCCTTAAAATCATCAATTCAGGGGCAATAACCTAAAAATCAGATACCCGATTTGGCTGATAATTTCAGGGCAGGTAGATCTTGACCTAATGAATACTTTAACATCTTGTCTGATTTGCTCTAAATGCTTTAGTTTTTGAGATATGTCAAAAACTGCATTTTACCTTATGTTCTATTTTTAGCCATGGCGGCCATGTTTTCTGCGGAAACAGAAAATAAAACACAAACTTTATTCTAGATAACTTAAGAATCATTCAGCTTAAGTTTGGTTTAATTTGGTTCAGTAGTTTCAGAGGAGAAGATTTTTTAAAGTTAGAAAACATGATAAACAAATTGTGTAAAATTGTCCTTAAAGAGCAATAACTCCTTAAGGGGTCAATTGACAATTTTGGTCATATAAACTTATTTGAGGATCTTACTTTGCTGAACATTTTTGCTGTTTACAGTGTATCATTATCTATAATAATAACTTAATAATAATTTAAGATAATAACCAACAAGGTCATACCAATATACGACCGCAAAAATTTTTTGCGGTCGTATAAAAACTGCAAAATTTCCTTATAATTACCAATTTAGTGGCAGCAACCCAACAATGGGTTGTTAGATTCATCTGAAAATTTCAGGGCTGATAGTACCTGACCTAATGAACATTTTTACTCTTTGTCAGATTTGCTTTAAATGCTTTTAAAATGTTTTTGAGATATAAACAAATAAATTGCTTCAACAAGCGCAGCTGGATACGACCGCAGAGGTCCAACCCTGAACAATTGGGGCAAAAATGGACACAATATTCGTGCTTGATACAGGTCTGAATTTGGATTGAAATTAAATGTTTGACACATAATAGGTTTCTGACACAGAATAACTGTAGTCAAAGAACTTAGAATTGGTTATATGATTTGAATTTATATTCCATTTTTTGCTTTTGTGCAATACACTTTACTGTTGCGAATTGCCCCCCCCCCCAAAAAAAAAAATTTCACCCCCTTTTTTTTGGGGCAAAAAAAATTGTTTTCACCCCACCCCTTTTTTTGCAAAAAAAAAAATAATATTTGAAGAAATTTTCTTTTTAATTTCTGAAATCTGTAATGAGAAAAAAAAATTGTCCTCCCCCCCCACCAATTTGTTTTCACCTCCCCCTTTTCCAAAAGTAAATCTTTCCCTCAAGATATGGTCATTATCTCAATTCAAATTTCCAATGGAGTTTCAAACCATAATTACCCATTTAAATACATCATAAAAGTCTTAAAATAGAAAATGACATACATAATCATGTCTAAAAATAATATATCTTTAATCAGCATTTTTATTATTAACTTCTAAAAATAAATTGACAGCTAATCACATCAAGACAATACAAAATGTCTTTATACATAATTTTAAAGCAGTGTAAGGGAGGTAATCCAAATTTAACATTGTACTTAACAGTGATTGTCCATTAACAAGGAAACCCTTGTTTTTCCCCCTTTTTTGCCCCTAATTCCTAAACGGTTTGAGCCAATACCCCCCAAAGCCAATCCTAGCCATCCCTTTGTGGTATGAAAACTTGTTGTACAATTTCAGAGAGATTCATACACCGTTCCACAATTTATTGTCTGAAAACTAGAAAAATGCTTATTTTGGCCCCTTTTTTGGCCCCTAATTCCTAAACTGTTAGGACCATAACCCCCAAAATCAATCCCAACCTTCCGTTTGTGGTTATAAACATTGTGTTTAAATTTCATAGATTTCTATTTACTAATACTAAAGTTATTGTCTGGAAACCAAGTGTCTTTGGACAACGAGGACGACTCCGACGACGTGATACAAATATAGGACCACAAAAATTTTTTGCAGTCGTATAAAAACTGCATTTTACCCCTATGTTCTATTTTTAGCCATGGCGGCCATGTTTATTGACGAAACAGATAATAAAACAAACTTTATTCTAGATACCCTAAAATTCATTCAGCTTAAGTTTGGTTGGAATCGGTTCAGTAGTTTCAGGGGAGAAGATGTTTGAAATAGTTGAGACCGGACGGACGACAACGACGCCAGACTATGATGGACGCCAAGTGATGGCAAAAGCTCGAGCAATGAGCTAAAAACCGCATAAATATCAAGATTAGAGATGCTGTTTACATGAACAATCATCAGTACCAGGGGGGTTATAAGTGGGATCCTGGGAGCCTGGGCATCCAACTTTTACAAATTGTTGACACCCTTAGTGACACCAGCACGCATAAGTCTTGCCTTACCTTTTTGCCTAGGGGAGTCAAAAACCATTTGAATATTGATTAAAATTTGTCAAACAGGTAAACTAGTACCCTCCCCTCAAGAAAGCCCTTATTTTGGATGAGTATTAAAAGGCAAAATGTAAGCTTTCAATTACATCATAACTACATGTAGCTACTACATGTATTGTTACTTCTTGACTTCTGAACTATTCGTCATCTTACATTAACATAACAAAATTCTTCATATTTCAGTGAAAAATAAGGTAAGATAGGCTCTTGCCCCACCATGTCCTGTCTAAATTAATCAAAAGACATAATTATGTCTTTATGCATTTCCTTTTTCTGCACATAATATTATTTTTTAGTATACAGTTGTGATAAAACTTAAATAAAATAACATGTAAAAATTCAGTTATACTCCAAGCATAATGTATTACAAGATATCAATCAACCAGTAAAAACCTAACCAAAATACAGGAATAAATACTGGTTTCAAGAACTTGATCATTGAAATTTGGTAAATGGTTGCAGCAAAACTATAATTTTGGGTAGTTGTATTTTTGTTTCATAAATCAAACTTCTAATGATGTTAAAGGTATAGAACAAGCTTATTTATTAATTTTACAACTTTCATTTCAAGTTTTAATCTTTGACCTGAGGGCCAAAAAAATTACAAATACATTTTAAAGTCACAAAAATTGTGTCATACATAAAGTTAAAACATACTAAGTGGTTTTAAAAATAGATTTTTTATATTGTACAAGGTAACTTTAAACACCAGTATTTAATACATTGGGATACATATATATTAAAGAACAAGAAAATTATATCTCTTTAGTTATATATACTGCATCTTTCACTAAAGTATTGTATGTAAACGTTGTATTTCCAGTGTACCCACATTGCAAGTAACAATTAGAAACACTGCTGATAACACAGGATTTAAAAAAAAAATAGTCATTGGACATGTGGAGAGGGAATTCTAGGACAATCAACTCCCTCACTTCGCCTGTTGTAATGAACCCTGAGTAATATATATGATTATCAGTGCATAGAAAACAAAAATTACTTTTAAATTATTTTAAATTAGTTATTCCTTTTAAAAAATCTGAGACTTATACAGCACAATAATTAAAGCCTGCAACTAATCATTACTGTAAAGAAAATACAAAGATTAATTAAAGCCAAATATCTTTATCTAAAATGAAAATAAGGGCACCAAAAAAGAAACCAACCCCTAGCAATCCAACATAAAATTGTTTTTCTTTCAAAATGCAATGAGATGACCTCAACCCTTAATATCACACCAGGTACGTAAAGTTTATTCTTATGCTAAACCCCATTGTACTGTTTATGCTTAAGAAAAACCTTGGACTTAAATAATGGATGGAAAGCATACAGACAAACAAAAAGACCTACATGTTTTTATGTCCGAAGTAATATTAAACCCAGGGTGTTTAACAATAAATTTTATAGTATTCTAGTTCTCAAATTGGAAAAACAATGGAAAATAAAGGATAAATACTGGATGCAAGACTAGGGGTGTATGGTGTGTGTAAGCTTTTCAGTATTTTCAGATACACTAAATCACCATGATATTCAACAAAAATTTCGCAGTCTGAATCATACATGTATTATGTCTGTCTCATGTATTTCATATACAGAAACAGAAATAAACTCAAATATTGCTTCCCAAATATATGCTGACATATATTTGTTCTATCAAAATACAGTTCTTTGGAAAGATTATTTTTTAAATATTTGACAATAACATTATTAACCTTCACACTTCAGTCCTTGTTTGACAAGTCCCCACAACATCTCTCCACAGAAATCACAGAAATGTGGTGATTTGTATGAATGTACAAACAGTAGATGTGGCTTGATCTGTAAGTCTTCCATTGTTGTTTGTGCTGTAAAAGAAATCAAGAAACAAATTCAGACAAATATAAGTCATGGTTGACAGTTACATCAATATAAAAGGTGAGAGTTATTTTTTTCAATATATATTCCATGCACTCTGCATTCCGCAATGATGTAATACAGAGTACATTTAGCTCTGACTAGCAATATATTAATAATACTCATGTAAAGCCGCTGAAATTAAAGCACTACATAGTCACGGTCGCGAAACACGTGACTTCGTCGTGATCAGTTTCACGGAAAAATGGCGCCCGTCAAATTATTATAGTTCGCTTGGATGTAAACTTTAAACGTAAGTATTTACATATCATCGTGTTCACACATAGGACCCCCCTCATCATATGCGTATTTTTCGTGCAAATATTTTGATGCATTTAAAGTTATATTTCACTGTTGGTTTCATAGAGAACATTCACAAACTATTTCAGACCTGCTGAAGATTGTTTGGGTTGGTGTTAACGATATGACCGTAAAATCACTGTAAATCCATTTGTGTGTCTTATTTTCACCAATCGTGTACAGAAACTTACCCAAATTTACTAATTCATTCATATAAACTAGCGTCGATGTATATTTTTGACATTATTGCGAACTGAACGCAATAATATTTTTTTTGTCAATAAACGATCAGTGTACACGATATATTTAAGTGATCAGTTCCGCGGTTTAATTCTGAATCAGTATGATAAGATCATATTAAGGTTGATCTGGGAAAATGGCGGAAATCCAGTTGAAATTAAACAAGAAATTAAACTCTTTGCCTGAGCAGAGAAGGTAGAAAAAGCTAAATTGGTATATTTAAATTGTTTACATATGTTTTTTAGGCTTTTAAAGATATAATAAAGGAACATATAACTTTAACTTAACGGAGCTTCGAGATATTTGTAAACTTTTAAATTATAGACAAATTTTCATTAAACAATCTAGTGTAGCCGGTTCAATTCAAAGTGGATCTTTTTTTGTGCATAAGTATAAATTCCGCCGAAAAAAAAATCCAAAGAAAGATAATAGATTTATCTTTCTTAAATATTAATTTGCATCTCTGCTCCCAAAGATAGTTTTTTTGGGGGGATCCTAAAAATGGGCAATAATTGCATCGAAAAGAAAAAAACAAGTGCACCTTTTAAAGTTCGGGCGTGTTTGAGTTGAGAATTCTGTCTTGAAACGTTTAAAACAAAAATATTTGCTACATCATCTCGCTTCAGATTCTATTATTGTTATATGATTACACTGCAGGTTGATTTAATAACATTAAAACTTAAGGTGTGCATGGCCACAGGATTTTATTTTTTTTACAAATTTTCTGGAAAAGACAGGCAGTTGGACTATTGGTTGTTTGTTTTACTACATGTAGCTGCATAAACAGATAATGGTTTGTCCTCCTTCAGTTACATCATCATACAAAGTGTTAAATTTATAATTTCTTATGGTCAGGCGGGGTCATCATTTGTGTCTTACAGACAGCGTAACAATTTGAAGTTGTATGCCAACATCACTGTCTAATCCAAAATTTGTGGAACTATACTCGTGCATATGGCAGAGCAGAAAGTGGGATGGGGGTATTGCCAATATCTAGTTTTCTCTGATTATAGGTCCCATTATGCAGAAAAAACAAAGCTTTCACAGCAACTCCAAAAGCATCGAGAAAAAAACTGTCAGACAGCCAAAGAGTTAACCAAATAGACTATATCAATGTTGCAACATTACAGACAGGAATTTAATGAGGATATTATAAAAATCGCCATACACTGTCACAATACGAGAGAGTGCGAAAGATATCAGAGGGACATTATCCTTCTCCAAAACGTGAGAAAGTACAAGGGCACACAAAGCGCTCTGTATTCATTTCAACCAAATGTTCGTTAACAGTAATATATTCCTCTTCGCCTAAAAAGGGAATACAAAACAAAAGACAAAACGTGCACTCTGCAGTTCATCAATATTACAACCACAAACATTAAATGTGATCTTATCATACTGATTCAGAATTAAACCGTGGAACTGATCACTTAAACATATCGTGTACACTTATCATTTATTGACAAAAAAAATATTATTGTGTTCAGTTCGCAATAATGTCAAAAATATACATCGACGCTAGTTTATATGAATGAATTAGTAAATTTGGGTAAGTTTCTGTACACGATTGGTGAAAATAAGACACACAAATAGATTTACAGTGATTTTACGGTCATATCGTTAACACCAACCCAAACAATCTTCAGCAGGTCTGAAATAGTTTGTGAATGTTCTCTATGAAACCAACAGTGAAATATAACTTTAAATGCATCAAAATATTTGCACGAAAAATACGCATATGATGAGGGGGGTCCTATGTGTGAACACGATGATATGTAAATACTTACGTTTAAAGTTTACATCCAAGCGAACTATAATAAATTGACGGGCGCCATTTTTCCGTGAAACTGATCACGACGAAGTCACGTGTTTCGCGACCGTGATAGTGATCTATTTTATTACATTTTCAACCTTTCACTCATAATAAGCAAGACTATCATGTGATAACAAATAAAATGCTCTGCTGGGGCGCAGCTTGATACGACTGCAGAGGTCGAACCCTGAACAGTTGGGGCAAGTATGGACACAACATTCAAGCTTGATACAGCACTGAATTTGGATTGTAATTAAATATTTGACACAGCATAGGTTTCTCACACAGAATGAAAGTGGTCTAAGAACTTAAAATGTTTTAATTTACCTATTCAAACCATATCGTTGTTATTTGCTTTTATATATATACATCAGAAATAACCAATTTAAAATGGAAAATTTTAAAGAAAAAAACATACATGTGATGGACTGTGAAACTCAGATCAGGAGATTGGAAAATTTTGGTCAGGAGATTAGGACTCAGATCAGGAGGTTTTTAATCGACATAAAGTTTGTCGTAAATGTAACCGTGTGCTGTAAAAATTGTCTTTTAAAGTGTGTTTTCTTCAACTTTCAATCCGAATGTATTATGTATTATGTTTATAGTACCCTTGTACTTATAAAGTTTCTTTATCTTAATATTCTACATGTTCAATCTAAGATTCTTTTTTTTTTAGTATGTTCTTTAAATTTTTCAATTCATATCTTTTATATCATTATTCTATAGGACAAACATGGCAATCAGATCATTTGTTTACCGATCTGCATTTGCAGTTAGATTTTATTTGAATAATCAGAAACTCATTTAAATTTAGAACATGGGTCATAGTTATTATATGAATTCAATTTAAGCCTTGAAAGAAAGTATAGAACCCTCAAATAATTTTCAAATTATTATTTTTTGATTTGTCCTAAGACATTTAAAATCATTTAATTACCATCCTTTTATGATTATTTGTTCAATTTATATTTTATTTATATTCTTTTAAAAATTTACATTATTTAAAGGAAAGTAACTTAAAACAGGATAAATCAGGGGAAGTAACCCAATAAATACACAAAGTTTTTATTACACAACGGCAGTTAGCCTGAGGTAAAAATCGTTGATTACCAGAATGTTTGACACCCAAGCTGACAAGTGAAGCCATATAATTATGCATGTTAATTGATTTATAGGTAAAATATAACTTCAGGTGATGTCAGTTACACCAGATGTCTGAGATGATATGTTGGGCAGATTTCATACACAGGATTTTTTTCTCTTCAACGCGAGGTCGGGAGGAGACCCCTGAAAACGGGATTATTGTACTACCGTCGGGAGGTTTACATGTATGAAAAAAAGAAAAAAAAATCCCCCAAATTTTTTTGAACCCCCTTATGATTCATCACCCCATTGGCCCAAACTCAATCCCAGCTTTCCCTTTGTGGTATGGTACCTTGCAGTACAATTTCAGAGAGATCCATACACTTGAACACAAGTTATTGTCTTGAAACTAGAAAAATGCTTGTTTTTTGGCCCCAAATTCCTAAACGTTTAGGGCAATTACCCCCAAACTCAAACCCAGCTTTCCCTTTGTGATATGGAACCTTGCAGTACAATTTCATAAAGATCCATACACTTACACACAAGTTATTGTCCTGAAACTAGAAAAATGCTTGTTTTTTGCCCTTTAATGGCCCCTAATAACTAAAATTTTGAGGGAATTACCCCCAAAAATCAATCCCAGCCTTCCCTTTGAGGTATGGTACCTTGCAGTACAATTTCAGAGAGATCCATACATTTGAACACAAGTTATTGTCTGGAAACTAGAAAAATGCTTATTTTTGGCCCCTTTTTGGCCCCTTATTCCTAAACTTTTTGGGCAATTACCCCCAAACTCAATTCCAGCTTTCCCTTTGTGATATGGAACCTTGTAGTACAATTTCATAAAGATCCATACACTTACACACAAGTTATTGTCATGAAACTAGAAAAATGCTTGTTTTTCGCCCCTTTTTGGCCCCTAATTCCTAAAATATGGAGGCAATTACCCCCAAAATCAATCCCAGCATTCCCTTTGTGATATGGAACCTTGTGATACAATGTCAGAGAGATCCATACACTTACACACAAGTTATTGTCATGAAACTAGAAAAATGCTTGTTTTTTGCCCCTTTTTGGCCCCTTATTCCTAAAATTTGGAGGCAATTACCCCCAAAATCAATCCCAGCATTCCCTTTGTGATATGGAACCTTGTGGTACAATGTCAGAGAGATCCATACACTTACACACAAGTTATGTCTGGAAGTTACAAAAATGCTTATTTTTGGCCCCTTTTTGGCCCCTAATTCCTTAACTGTGGGTACCATAACCCCCAAAATCAATCCCCACCTTCCTTTTGTGGTATTGAACCTTATGGTAAAATTTCATTGAGATTCATTCACTTAAACTAAAGTTAGAGTGCGAAAACTAATGTGTATTCGGACGACGACGCTGGACGACGACGACGCCGGACGACGACGACGACGCCAACGTCATACCAATATACGACCACAAAAATTTTTTTGCGGTCGTATAAAAAACTATACAGTTATTTGAAGCATTCACTGAACAATGGACTTATGTCAGAAGGAAAACTTTGTATCATAAGGCACATGTGTACACGACATGAAGTACTCAAGTCTTCTAGCTTCTAAAATATAAAGATTTCTATAAATAATTTACACCATCACCCTGACATCAGAAAGACATCCTATTTTGAATCATTTCTTGAACGAATGTCACAGATGAGTCAGAAACCTTCACAGTGCAGCTACCAACAAGATGACTTCTCTAACTTAAGGAGGAAATAAAAGACAGAACATAATTTGAAAAGCAGGGTCAAAATGTGCTCTCTACTATAGGAAGCAAGCTAAGGTAGTTACAGTTCTTAGTTGAATGCTGTGGCTCAAGAAATAAACTAGAGGCTCTAAAGAGCCTGTGTCGCTCACCTTGGTCTATGTGAATATTAAACAAAGGACGCAGATGGATTCATGACAAAATTGTGTTTTGGTGATGGTGATGTGTTTGTACATCTTAATTTACTGAACATTTTTCCTGCTTACAATTATCTCTATCTATAATTAACTTGGCCCAGTAGTTTCAGAGGAGAAGATTTTTGTAAAAGATTACTAAGATTTACGAAAAAATGGTTAAAAATTGACTATAAAGGGCAATAACTCCTAAAGGGGTCAACTGACAATTTCGGTCATGTTGACTTATTTGTAGATCTTACTTTGCCGACATTTATTGTTTTTTACAGTTTATCTCTATCTATAATAATATTCAAGATAATAACCAAAAACAGCAAAATCACCTTAAAATTACCAATTCAGGGGCAGCAACCCAACAACGGGTTGTCCGATTCATCTGAAAATTTCAGGGCAGATAGATCTTGACCTGATAAACAATTTTACTTCATGTCAGATTTGCTTTAAATGCTTTGGTTTTTGAGTTAAAAGCCAAAAACTGAATTTTACCCCTATGTTCTATTTTTAGCCGTGGCGGCCATCTTGGTTGGTTGACCAGGTCACGCCACACATTTTCAAAACTAGATAACCAAATGATGATTGTGGCCAAGTTTGGTTTAATTTGGCCCAGTTGTTTCAGAGGAGAAGATTTTTGTAAAAGATTACTAAGATTTACGAAAAATGGTTAAAAATTGACTATAAAGGGCAATTACTCCTAAAGGGGTCAACTGACCATTTCGGTTATATTGACTTATTTGTAAATCTTACTTTGCTGAACATTATTGCTGTTTACAGTTTATCTCTATCTATAATAATATTCAAGATAATAACCAAAAACAGCAAAATTTCCTTAAAATTACCAATTCAGGGGCAGCAACCCAATAACGGGTTGTCCGATTCATCTGAACATTTCAGGGCAGATAGATCTTGACCTGATAAACAATTTTACTTCATGTCAGATTTGCTTTAAATGCTTTGGTTTTTGAGTTAAAAGCCAAAAACTGAATTTTACCCCTATGTTCTATTTTTAGCCGTGGCGGCCATCTTGGTTGGTTGACCAGGTCACGCCACACATTTTTAAAACTAGATAACCAAATGATGATTGTGGCCAAGTTTGGTTTAATTTGGCCACGGAGTTTCAGAGGAGAAGATTTTTGTAAAAGATTACCAAGATTTACGAAAAATTGTTAAAAATTGACTATAAAGGGCAATAACTCCTAAAGGGGTCAACTGACCATTTCAGTCATGTTGACTTATTTGTTAATCTTACTTTGCTGAACATTATTGCTGTTTACAGTTTATCTCTATCTATAATAATATTCAAGATAATAACCAAAAACAGCAAAATTTCCTTAAAATTACCAATTCAGGGGCAGCAACCTAACAACACGTTGTTCGATTCATCTGAAAATTTCAGGGCAGATAGATTTTGACCTGATAAACAATTTTACTTCATGTCAGATTTGCTCTAAATGCTTTGGTTTTTGAGTTATAAGCCAAAAACTGCATTTTACCCCTATGTTTTATTTTTAGCTGTGGCGGCCATCTTGGTTGGTTGGCCAGGTCACGCCACACATTTTTCAAACTAGATACCCCAATGATGATTGTGGCCAAGTTTGGTTTAATTTGGCCCAGTTGTTTCAGAGGAGAAGATTTTTGTAAAAGATTACTAAGATTTACGAAAAATGGTTAAAAATTGACTATAAAGGGCAATTACTCCTAAAGGGGTCAACTGACCATTTCGGTTATATTGACTTATTTGTAAATCTTACTTTGCTGAACATTATTGCTGTTTACAGTTTATCTCTATCTATAATAATATTCAAGATAATAACCAAAAACAGCAAAATTTCCTTAAAATTACCAATTCAGGGGCAGCAACCCAATAACGGGTTGTCCGATTCATCTGAAAATTTCAGGGCAGATAGATCTTGACCTGATGAACAATTTTACCCCATGTCAGATTTGCTCTTAATGCTTTGGTTTTTGAGTTATAAGCTAAAAACTGCATTTTACCCCTATGTTCTATTTTTAGCCGTGGCGGCCATCTTGGTTGGTTGACCAGGTCACGCCACACATTTTTAAAACTAGATACCCCAATGATGATTGTGGCCAAGTTTGGTTAAATTTGGCCCAGTAGTTTCAGAGGAGAAGATTTTTGTAAAAGTTTACGGACGACGGACGACGGACGCAGGACGACGGACGACGGACGCAAAGTGATGAGAAAAGCTCACTTGACCTTTCAGGTCAGGTGAGCTAAAAAGAAAAAGCAACATTCCTACAAAATTTTATGAAGTCCCAAGATAAAATTGCACTGAAATATGCAGTATTTGTGAGAGGCCAGCAAGTATTCAAAATAGCCAGATTATCAGAAGAAAAAATATCTAAAATAATTAGTTCCTATTATCAGGCCTGTAGCCCTAACTGTTGAAAGATTTAAGAACTTCCTGGTGTTAGTCTACTCCAAATTGGAGTTATTGCCCTTTAATGAGGATGTTTATCAATTCTTGTGTTTTTGTCTTCTACCTTTGATCTTATAACCATACCCTATCATTTTTTTTCGATGTTTTAGTTCTGTTTATGACAGTACAATATAAAAGGCACGATTGAAAAAATAGTCAAATATCAATTTTATACAAGAAACATTATTTTCATATGTAAGACAAACTATAAATTCATATGTACCTCTCTACCAAAATTATTTATAAACAAAGTTCTTGAACACTGAAACACATAAAGAGATAATAATCAAATTTTAAATGCAGCTTTTGGTCACCCATCCATAACATACACATTTGGAAATGTGGGGGAAGGATGAACAACAGTAAATTATAGTAAATACTGAATGGGCGTGAAATCAAAAGTAATTAAGAACTAATTCTTGTGGTTTTAATTACTAAAAATAACTTATGTTGCATGTATGGTTAAACATAGCATCACGTTTTGATTTAAACTTATTATTTGCTAAAAATGGTAAAATTTAGATAATAAGTATGAAATATTAGACTTTTCCTTTGTTAAAACTACCCACATGAACAAATTATAATCTGATGTCCATCAATACACCAGCATCATAAGTGTCAATCACTAGTTAATATTTATATAAATTACTAGTCTTATTCAATATACTAGTCTGAAATTTTAATTTTCTTCCTGTAACACTGACCAGGACCAGCCACTATATTAAAAGTGATCACATTAATCAATCAACTTCAAGGGAACAAAAGACTTGACAAAACTGTTTACCTAAAGACTTCCATACTACTAAAGAAGAATCAGACTGTTGTTGAAATTTGCCCAAACACAAGAAAGCTTAAAGAATATCTATAAGCAATTCAGCAATTGATAACTGATTCTTTTACCCTTCAAAAATTATGAGATTTTAAAAAGTTTACATCTCACTATAAGAAGCTGGTTACAAACTTTACAATATGTTTGCGCGATCCAGGTTATGTCTATAGAAATAGCCTGATCACATAATTTCTTCTTTTAAATCAGAATTTTCTCATGAATGATTTGTTATTTACTTTAAAAAGAGGCCAGGTGAACTGAATAAAATGCTACCATGACAACTTACCTGAAATGAATTGTGCACATTAACACATTAAGGGAAACCAAAAATAAGCTCTATCTGTTGTAGTTGAAATAAGCAAAGATATTTCTGAGGGCATGCTCTATCTGTTGAAATTGAAATAAACAAAGATATTTCTGAGGGCACGCTCTATCTGTTGAAGATATTTCTGAGGGCATGCTCTATCTGTTGAAGTGGAAATAAACAAAGATATTTCTGAGGGCACGCTCTATCTGTTGAAATTGAAATAAACAAAGATATTTCTGAGGGCACGCTCCATCTGTTGAAGTTGAAATAAACAAAGATATTTCTGAGGGCAGGCTCTATCTGTTGAAGTTGAAATAAGCAAAGATATTTCTGAGGGCACGCTCTATCTGTTGAAATTGAAATAAACAAAGATATTTCTGAGGGCACGCTCTATCTGTTGAAATTGAAATAAGCAAAGATATTTCTGAGGGCACTCATATCAATCACTTAAAGCTTCATGACTGCTAAATACTGTTATGCAGGCAAAATCAAATAAATAAGCTCTACAAAGCTGAGACAAACCAAAACTAAAACATTTTTTTAAAAAACTTCCCTGGGTGAAAATGCCAGTAAAAGTGCATTTATTAACAAACCTAATATATAGGAGTGGTGCTGTTTGAAATGAAAAGCTATGTTATTATTGGAATACCATTAGTTGTTAATACCAAATTAGAAATTAAAAGTGAAAAAAACCAACACACTACAAATACTTGATCGAATCTTTTTCTGCCTTCCACTTTTACGCCTTAAAATGCATGCATCTTCTGCAACAAATCAGTGAATAATTTTATTTCATGATGACCTTTGAACTTTGTCTACTGTCTAATAATTGATTTAATTGATTGAAAGTTTCAATGTTTTCTTGTCTGAAATTACAGATTATGATATAAATGGAGAGGTTACTGTCCTGAGGATATATAATATATCTGTGATAAGATATTTACATTTGTACATGTAGTCTAATAGTTTTTACTTATATGGTAATTGATTGACGACAAGAAAGACAAACATAAATGAAAGAAGTTAAAAAAACATGTATGCTTGTTAATGTTTGTTGCTGTGACTTTATAATTTTTTCTTCCTAGTTGTTGACTACCCACTAACAATGTGTTTTTGTCTTTCTATTTTTTTTTATTTATGTCATGTCTTCGTGTCTTTGGTTGTCTGTTTGATTCATTAAAAACTTGTCTAGACTGTTTGAATGGATTTACACCAGTCATTTTTGGGGTCCTTTATAGCTTGCTGTTTGGTGTGAGTCAAGGCTCCGTGTTGAAGGCCATACTTTTACCTATAATGGTTTACTTTTACAAAATGTGACTTGGATGGAGAGTTGTCTCATTGGCACTCATACCACATCTTCTTATATCTATTCAGTATTTGATATGGTCTGGGCACTGGTATATTGATGAGCTGACTTGAGGAATATTTTTAATAAACTTATCCAGTCTCATTGTTTCCCCTACATCTCTACTTTTAAATTTCATACAGATATAAAATTTAATACAATATAAACTTTAAGATAATGAATCAAAACAGTTAGTTGATAATTAATTCATGTTTGACAACAGTATGTACAAAGGAATATTAATTTGTAAACAAAGATAAACCAAGTCATTTACATTTGATGGCCTATTTAACTCAGATATAATCTTCTTGTATAAATCTAGAACACACTCTTAAAATAAATGTACTTATAAATTGACAAAGAATTGGTCTGAGTAAATTTTTACAAAAAGTCTATTTCACAGGATTCACAGAGTTTGTCCAAACTATATGCTCTTACACATCTCTAGATGGCAACACATTAGGTAAAATCTTACTAACTATAGAACTTAAAGGGAATCATCTAAACTAAAAGAAGGCATTTACTTGTATCCATCAGGAATTATTTTCCACATCTGATTGTCTAATTGATAACAGCTAGTTTTTCAATGTCCAGCAGCAAATATTACATATATTAATCAGAACAATAACAATGAAGGAACATGACCTGCTATGTGGATAGGTCTTCACAGGAGTCTAATTTAGATTATGCTAGCTTCCTTGGAAGTTAATATCCTACAGAAAGACATTTCAACTACTGTGGATTCATTTATTTTCGTGGATTGGGGAAAACTTGTATTTTCGTTGATATTTGATTTCTTTGTTTTGCCAAAGTCTGCATACAAGCCTATAGTAAATGTGTACTTCTTGAACATTGAATTTCGTGGTTCACCTATACCCACGAAGTCAACAAAAATTGGTATTCCACAAATAATGATGAATCCACATTATCAAGACACATTTTCACTAGTATTGGTTGATCAGTCTTTGCTCTTAGTCCTAAATGCTTACTGGTGAAGTGAACACATGGTGTAGTTATCAATTACCTTTGGTTTGAATTGGCTAGAGATTGAACCCACAATATAACACATAAATGTTCATAGTTGTGAAAGTAATGGAAGATCAAAATCTTACAAAATTTTCATTACAATTTAACCGTTATCATGAAGCTTGTTTACAAATTTTGAGTTAAAAACATAGTTAAAAAAAACATAGCATCTTAAGTCAAAGATATAAAAAAATACAACAATATTTTAGTTTGAAAATATGTTGACATTGAGCATTCAGATGCATTCTTGGTTTCTTTGTGTCATTGCGTTGCCGTTTCCTGTAAAATACACTCAAAATAAATAAAAATTTAATTATTCTTGATAATTTTGTTGTCAACAGACATGATGCTGTAAGAGCTTACTAGTAAATGAGTGTGTTGTTTTGTTGTTTTTGCCATATGACAGCATGCAGGTATTAAAAGTTTAAATTTCAAAAAGACAATTTTTCTTGTACATTTTATAAAAAGGAAAAGAAAGAGAAAACTGTTCTGGACTACATATACATGTGCATACATATACATGTGCATGAAAATCGTGACTAACCAAAATCTGTGCAAAAATTTACACTCCAAACTAACTTCATTGGAATAAAACGTGTGCATGTATACATGTACATGTATATATATGTAAAAAATATCAGACCTGTTCCTGTCTACTTTTTTTGTGCCTTGACAGGAAATAAATTATGTCTAAAAACTATTTTTAGTTGATGAATTTATTTTAGTAGTATAAGCTGTAACAAATATGCACAAGATTCAATATCTTGTTTGGCATGTTTGTTTGATAAGGAAAGTAAATCATATTTTAATTATTTAAATTTATATAGAAGTATATATTAATCACTATGCACAATTCTTGACTAATTTACATCCCACTAAATAACATAACTACACAAAAAGTATTATATGTCAAACTTAATTATTATTTTTTTTTCAAGTATAGTTTTATTGCTTTCGTAAGAACATATTTACTTCATTTTATTACGTTTTTATTTCAAGCTTTCAGTAGTTTTTATTAGTTCCTTTAAGGGAAATTTTCATGATATGATGTACTCTATGGTTACATTATTTCAAAAGATCAAAATTCTTCAATTTTTACTTTATAAATTTGAACAGACAGATGACTACAAATGTTGGTTGCTTGATTGCTTTCTCATTGAGATTCACCCCACATAACTGATTTTTTTTTATACATGTACGTTAAGATATGTTGCTGATTTGATACCATTCAACTCATATGAACTCAATCTTGTATAGAGGCAATGACCATGAATACATGCTTAATTTTTGCTTTTTTCAATTTGAAGAAAAACTGAATACCATCCTAACCGTGTCCCTGAAATGCAACAACAACTGGTTAATCTAACATTAGAACACAACAACAAGAAGTTGAGCTTTAGTTTAGAATTGATACCACCACTACAAGTATTTATAATCAAGAAGTTAATGAGGAATGATGTGGAAACGCATTACACATTATAGCATGCTCACACAAAGCTAATTTCCAAATTTCAGAAAGCCTTGATTGTAGCTCTTTATAATAAATTGCTTCGCTGAGCGCAGCTGGATACGACCGCAGATGTCCAACCCTGAAAAGTTGGGCCAAAATGGACACAATATTCACGCTTGATACAGGTCTGAATTTGGATTGTAACTAAATTTTTGACACATAATAGGTTTCTGACACAGAATAACTGTATTCAAAGAACTTCAAATTGGTTATATGATTTGAATTTATATTCAATTTATTGCTTTTGTGCAATACACTATGCTGTTGCGAATTGCCCCCCCACCCAGGCCCCTACCAAAAAAATTAAAATTTATTTGACCCCGGTTTTTTGCTTTTGTGCAATACACTATGCTTTTGAATATTAACCCCCCAGAAAAAATATTTGAAGAAATTTTCTTTTAATTTCTGAAATCTGAAATGAGAATAAAATGCTCCTCAGGGCGCAGCTTGATACGACCGCAGAGGTCGAACCCTGAACAGTTGGGGCAAGTATGGACACAACATTCAAGCTTGATACAGCTCTGAATTTGGATTGTGATTAAATATTTGACACAGCATAGGTTTCTGACACAGAATGAATGTGGTCTAAGAACTTAAAAATTTTAAATTGGACATTCACCTATTATGGTCCAATATCCAAAATCTAAATACATGGTTAGATTCAGCATATCAAAGAACCCCAAGAATTCAATTTTTGATGAAATCAAACAAAGTTTAATTTTGGACCCCGATTTGGACCAACTTGAAAACTGGGCCCATAATCAAAAATCTAAATACATGGTTAGATTCAGCATATCAAAGAACCCCATAAATTCAATTTTTGTTAAAATCAAACTAAGTTTAATTTTGGACCCTTTGGACCTTAATGTAGACCAATTTGAAAACGGAACCAAAAATTAAGAATCTAAATACACGGTTAGATTCGGCATATCAAAGAACCCCAATAATTCAATTTTTTATGAAATCAAACAAAGTTAAATTTTGGACCCTTTTGACCTCAATGTGGACAAAGTTGATAACGGGGCCCAAAAATCAAAAATCAAAATACATGGTTAGATTCAGCATATCAAAGAACCCCAAGAATTCAATTTTTGATGAAATCAAACAAAGTTTAATTTTGGACCCCGATTTGGACCAACTTGAAAACTGGGCCCATAATCAAAAATCTAAATACATGGTTAGATTCAGCATATCAAAGAACCCCATAAATTCAATTTTTGTTAAAATCAAACTAAGTTTAATTTTGGACCCTTTGGACCTTAATGTAGACCAATTTGAAAACGGAACCAAAAATTAAGAATCTAAATACACGGTTAGATTCAGCATATCAAAGAACCCCAATAATTCAATTTTTGATGAAATCAAACAAAGTTAAATTTTGGACCCTTTGGACCTCAATGTGGACCAATTTAAAAACGGGGCCCAAAATCCAAAAACTTAATACACGGTTAGATTCAGCATATTAAAGAACCCCAAGAATTCAAGAATAAAACCCCATTGAAATTGATCAAGAAATAAGCAATTTATATGAAGTATCTTCTTTTGCACAATACTGTGCAATTGAATATTTCTTGCTATTGCGCAATACTGTACAATTGACAATTTCTTGCTATTGCGCAATATTGTGCTATTGGATATTTCTTGCTATTGCGCAATACTGTGCAATTGAAGATTTCTTGCTATTGCGCAATACTGTGCAATTGAAGATTTCTTGCTATTGTGCAATACTGTGCAATTGAAAATTTCTTGCTATTGCACAATACTTATTAGATAATAATTTACACATCCTGTTTGGTGTGTATCTCCTACCATATCATTATTATTTGCTTTTAAATATTAAACAGAAATAACCAACTTAAAATGGAAAATTTTAAAAGAAAAAAAAAAGGAAAAAAAGAAAAAAAAAAAGAAAAAAAAAATCCCCCCCAAATTTTTTGAACCCCCTTATGATTCGTCACCCCCAAACTCAATCCCAGCCTTCCCTTTGTGGTATGGTACCTTGCAGTACAATTTCAGAGAGATCCATACACTTGAACACAAGTTATTGTCTGGAAACTAGAAAAATGCTTATTTTTGGCCCCTTTTTGGCCCCCAATTCCTTAACGTTTCGGGCAATTACCCCGAACTCAATTCCAGCTTTCCCTTTGTGATATGGAACCTTGTAGTACAATTTCAGAAATATCCAAACACTTACACAAAAGTTATTGTCATGAAACTAGAAAAATGCTTGTTTTTTGCCCCTTTTTTGGCCCCTAATTCCTAAAATTTTGAGGCAATTACCACCAAAATCAATTACAGCCTTTCCTTTGTGATATTGAACCTTGTGGTACAATGTCTGAGAGATCCATACACTTACACACAAGTTATTGTCTGGAAGTTACAAAAATGCTTATTTTTGGCCCCTAATTCCTTAACTGTTGGTACCATAACCCCCAAAATCAATCCCAACCTTCCTTTCGTGGTATTGAACCTTATGGTAAAATTTCATGGAGATCCATTCACTTAAACTAAAGTTAGAGTGCGAAAACCAATGTGTCTTCGGACGACACCAGACGACGACGACGACGACGCCAACGTCATACCAATATACGACCAAAAAATTTTTAATTTTTGCGGTCGTATAAAAATTGTCCCCCCCTCCAATTTTTTTCACCTCCCCCCTTTCCCTTATTCCCCCAAAAAATTCTTTCCCTCAAGATATGGTCAGTATCTCAATTCAAATTTCTAATGCAGTTTGCAACCAAAATTACCCATTTAAATACATCATAAAAGTTTTAAAAATAAAATGACATACATAGTCATGGCTAAAATTTATATTAATTAATAGTAACTGCTAAAAATAAATTGACAGCTAATCACCTCAAGACAATCATCATTTCTTAATACATAATTTACAAGCAGTTTAAGGGAGGTAATCAAGCAGTGTTTTTTAATTTGAATTGTATTACCTCCTTTACACTGCTTTTAAAATGTCTCAAATGTCCTTTTACCAGAAAAACCCTTGTTTTTCCCCTTTTTTTTGCCCCTAATTACTAAATGGTTTGAGCCATAAACCCCCAAAGTCAATCCTAACCATCCATTTGTTGTATGGAAGTTTGTGGTATAATTTCAGAGAGATTCATACACTTTAACACAAGTTATTGTCTGGAAACTACAAAAATGCTTATTTGGGCCCCTTTTTTGGCCCCTAATTCCTATACAGTTGGGACCATAACCCCCCAAAATCAATCCCAACCTTCCTTTAGTGGTTATAAACCTTGTGTTAAAATTTTATTGATTTCTATTTTCTTATACTAAAGTTATTATCCGGAAACCATCTGTCTTCGGACGACGCTGACGTCAATGACGACGACGACAAAGTGATACCAATATACGACCAAAAAAATTGTTAATTTTTGCGGTCGTATAAAAATGCAACAAAAATTTCATACATTGCCATTACGCCTGATAGTATTTCAGCATTTGGTAAACAAGGGAATGTTGAGCTATAAATCTGAATCATACAGTAACACAAGCTCACATGATTGACATGAAGCTTGATACCTAAGTTTAACAAGCTCTGATTTGGTGTTTCTGAGAAAATGTAGGTCAACCATACTTAAAAAATTTATGTTGGACCTGAAGCTACACCTTATACAATTAGTTATCTTAATATTAGGAAGGTTCATAACAAAACACAAAAACTTCATTTTCAAGTCTAAAAACCTAATTAAGTCAAAAACAGGTAAACTTAAAACAGTTAATATGTTAACTGGAGGTGAATGTTCTAATGACAAAAATAATTAACCAAATATCAGCACAATATCCATAGTGATGGCTGAAAACTTAACAGAAAGCTTTCACTTTCATTAATTCTTTAAGGAACAATTGTCATAATTAAATCAAAATAATATAAACTAAAATAAGTCATACTACTCAGCTCATTATTTGCAAGTAGGCCTGACAACAGGGTTGTAATTAAGTCAGAAGAATGTCAATAAGACTTCAATTCATGTCAAGTATATTTCTTTTTGCTACACAAAGTTCTACAAACTAAAAAATCCGCCCATATATAATAGAGGAGATCCAAACAAAAGATACCCTTAGCATGTTTTATCCGTCTGTTCTATTTATTTTAACAGCAGTAAACATGTTCAAATATATTAAAACAGACACCCTAAAGATGATTGTGACCCACTTTGGTGTCAACTGACCACAATTATTTCCTTACGGAATACTTTAAAAAGTTTACATAGCTGCATGTAGATGACATACAAAAAGGGGTGAAAAAACAATTACACTAGCCTGTCATTTAAATAGAAATTAATCATTTTTGTTTTCAGCAAATCTTCAGAAATATTTAATAGTGACGATCATCCATACCTAAGTTAACATTGTTTTGCGTTAATTTATCAAAACTAATGCATATTGTATTTGAAAGTCTTTGTTGTAATCCCTGTGAGAGTCGACCAATTGAAATTTTCATGAAGAACTGCAATCAAGGTTTAATTGATCCTACAAAAGTTATGATCCTGTATGTAAAAATCAATATCTTGGATTTACATTGTTTTACAGGATAATCAGCCTTGATCTAATTTTTCTGTTACACAAACCATGTCAATATCGAAGTATCAATTTGTTTGAAACTGTACTTTTCTGTCTTCTAATGTCTTAAGGGCATAATTTGAAATCTGAGTGAAGATGAGCTATCCTTAACATGCTAAAGGACTGATATGTGCAAGAAAAAAGAATCCCTTATAATATAACTTTAACAGTCTACCTAATCAAAAAAAAAAAAAAAAATAGACAGAGTTCCCTTATTCAGCAAGGCCTGGTCTGAGGCTTAATTACAATTCAACTTAAATTCAACTGCTGAAGAACAAACCTAAAGCAGGAAAATCATATGTGTTGTAAAGCGTTTTAAGTGTTCATATTTCTGTGTATTGGCTTGAGTGTCCTTTAAGCACTTGCCCTTGGTGACTCCTGCATATGAACAACAATACTATTTGTTCATATGCATCAGCCACGAGGAAGGACTTGACTCAAAAGCTTTTTTTTTTATAATGGATGTGATGCTGCTTCTGGTGCATGGTCAATAAACACTTAACATACTGGTTTACGTGACTACATGTATTATAAACTCAATTTATATTTCATGGTGGGTTTTTTTTCAGTTGTATTTCTTTTTTTTTTTTTTTTTTATTTTCTTGTGTATTGTCATTTGCAATTGTGTAATATAAAAAATCAATGTACTGACTATGCCTATAATGGATCCTCTATTGGAAATAAAATTTATGTATATAAAAATCAAGAGATGTGGAATGATTGCCAATGTAACAACTATCAATAAACCAAAGGACAAAGATGTTAGCAATTGCAGGTCATTTATGGCCTTCAACAATGAATAAAACTGAAAAAATGATACAATACAGTAAGTTATATTGGCAATTTCCCTTTCAACTCTGATAGACTTCCATGTACAACATGCATTGCCAGCCACAGGTACACATTAAAAGTAAACCAAAGTACTCAATATGGTGGAAAATATTGTTAAAATTTATTCAACTAGACCCATAAAGCTATGTTTAGTATCATGTGTATCTATTCTTCTACTTCCTCTTTAATATTAATAATTACATATCAAAAAAGGAAATAATAAATGCAACAGTTACTAAAACCCCCTAAACTGAACATGCACACTGTATATACATCAGGAAGTTGTTTCTTTATTGTGGATTATTTTTCAGTTTGTGTTTCCTAAATTTTATTTCTTTAAATTTTCAGAGTAAACTATTTGAATTTCCGCCATTTCATTCAGATTTGTTATATACCTTTTTATTGTATAGAGATGGAACATTTCTTTTCTCAGCTACCAAATCTACACTTGACCAGTGTCATTTGAGTCAAGAGTGACAGGGCCTGCTTCAGACAAACATATTTTTTAACTAAGTGAGATATTATTTAACTTTAGCTTACATGTATTTTTTTTCGGTTTAATACACAAAGGACTGTTAGAGACATACTTACAAGGCAATTTTCACATATTTTATATTCCGGAGGACCATAATGTCTATGAAAATTTTAAGTTGCTTTCTGATTCAATTTAGATATTGTTGATAAACACTTTTCATATAAATCTTATCGAAGTCCATCATGTATTAGATACAGCTCAAGGGCATTAGCCCGAATGGTTGTATCTAATTTACACTAAGATATTACCACAAAAGTTATTGGAAAGCATGATAAATGCAGGGTATTCATTTCATATAACGACATCTTGGTGTAAGTACTGTTACAGTGATAACATTTACAAAGAAATTTCTACAGGTCATAACTCCAGGGACCAAAAAATAAAGATGTATGTATATTATAAACCTCTGGAACCTACTGGTACATCATGGAGATGTTTTAAGTAATATTTAAATAAAATGCTCCGCTGGGGCGCAGCTTGATACGACCGCAGAGGTCGAACCCTGAACAGTTGGGGCAAGTATGGACACAACATTCAAGCTTGATACAGCACTGAATTTGGATTGTAATTAAATATTTACACAGCATAGGTTTCTGACACAGAATGAAAGTGGTCTAAGAACTTAAAATTTTTTAATTTACCTATTCAAACCATATCATTATTATTTGCTTTTATATATAAATCAGAAATAACCAATTTAAAATGGTAAATTTTAAAGAAAAAAAAGGAAAAAAAATCCCCCCCCCCCCTCAATCCCAGCCTTCCCTTTGTGGTATGGTACCTTGCAGTACAGTTTCAGAGAGATCCATACACTTGAACACAAGTTATTGTCTGGAAACTAGAAAAATGCTTGTTTTTTGGCCCCTTTTTGGCCCCTTATTCCTAAACTTTTTGGGCAATTACCCCCAAACTCAATTCCAGCTTTCACTTGGTGATATGGAACCTTGTAGTACAATTTCATAAAGATCCATACACTTACACACAAGTTATTGTCATGAAACTAGAAAAATGCTTGTTTTTTGCCCCTTTTTTTTTTTGGCCCCTAATTCCTAAAATTTGGAGGCAATTACCCCCAAAATCAATCCCAGCATTCCCTTTGTGATATGGAACCTTGTGGTACAATGTCAGAGAGATCCATACACTTACACACAAGTTATGTCTGGAAGTTACAAAAATGCATATTTTTGGCCCCCAATTCCTTAACTGTTGGTACCATAACCCCCAAAATCAATCCCCACCTTCCTTTTGTGGTATTGAACCTTATGGTAAAATTTCTTTGAGATCCATTCACTTAAACTAAAGTTAGTGTGTGAAAACTAATGTGTCTTCGGACGACGACGATGACGATGACGCCAACGTTATACCAATATACGACCACAAAATTTTTTTTGCGGTCGTATAAAAATTATAAAATACACATTTCTGAGTCATCTTCTTTTACAACATGGTTTCAAATCACAATAACTAATATAATATTTTGGAAGTTCATCTGGAAATTGGCATATATGTAATAAATTTACACATATGATTGATTTCCATATCTACAGTATTAGTACAGTATTAGTACGGGAAGTAGACTTAACTCTAAACATTTTCTCAGACTTCCAGTCATTTTAAACAGTATACATTGTATTACCAAATTTTGTACATGTTGTATACATGTATAAATCCAAGGGCGGATTCAGGCGGGGCGTGCGCCCCCCTTAAATTTGCAAAGCATGGGTTGTCCTCAGCTTAATAAAGAATATTTCGATAATTTTACCTAAAAAAAAATTTAAAATTTGCGTCCCCCTTAACCTAAAATCCTGGATCCACCCTTGAAATCGGCCAGTTTACTATTTTGCTGCTAAGTTAGCATTTTTCTTTTATAAAAGCAACTGCTTGGAGCAAGTAAGCATTATTTCATCAGTCAAATTGACCTTCAACAGAAAAAAGCATTTAGTGCACTGCAAACATTTGATATCATGAACTATTTTCTGCTATGATAGTATCATTATAATATATGACAGCTACTTTGTGCGCAAGTACTGTACAAGCTTAAGATTGAGAACACAGTATCTTTGCATGTTTAAAGTTTTGCTGAAAATTGTATGTTATTCTGTGCACTTCCCAGTTTCATGAACATTTATATTAAGCTTTATCAGTACAGGGTACTTTAATGCCCTGAAATATAATTTACATTAAGAGGTAGTTATCCAAGTCATATATAACACTGGTCTCTATATTATACAACTTACTTGGCTACCATAAATTTTGAGGAAAACCAATCAACAAAAAATTGAATTTTTTTAAAGTCTTTCCTTCCAATCAAAGTATAACATTAAAGCCTATCCTGATAAACAGCTGCGCCATGAGCGCATGATACGCCCGTCTCGTTTTGAAAGAATAAAGTTCAATAACTTCTCAATGTCATATCAGAAATTTATAAAAATTGAAAGGGAGCTTAAGTCAATAGATATATAAACAATTCACCAAAGTTTCATGAGAACTGCTGAAAGCATTTTTGAGTTATTGTCAGAAAACTGGAAAATACCCCCTTTTTTAATGAATAAAACCCCATAACTCGGAAATGTAAAATCTAAAATGTATAAAAATCAAAAGGGAGCTTACGTCAATAGATATAAACAATTAAGCAAAGTTTCATGAGAACTGCTGATAGCATTTTTGAGTTCTTGTCTGAAAACTGGAAAATCCCCCTTTTTTTAATTAATAAAACCCCCTTAACTCGGAAACGTAAAATCTAAAATTTATAAAAAACAAAAGGCAGCTCACGTCAATAGATATAAACATTTCCCCAAAGTTTTTTGCAAATTGGTTAAAGCGTTTTTGAGTTAATGTTCGACATGTTGTCGAAGGACGGACGGACAGAGGTATACCATAATACGTCCCGTAAACGGGCGTATAAAAATACAAGAGTGCACACGCTGAAATGTCTCACCTTCTTTACTAATCATTGATATTATGTTGATAGTCCTAAATATAAAGCTTTATTACAACTGTCACATAAACTTAACATTAACCAAGTAAACTAAACATTGACCAGTGAACCATGAAAATGAGGTCAAGGTCAGATGAACCATGCTAGGCAGGCATGTACAGCTAACAATTCTTCCATACAACAAATATAGTTGACCTATTGCTTATAGTTTAAGAAAAACAGACCAAAACACAAAAACTTAACACTGAGCAATGAACCTTGAAAATGAGGTCAAGGTCAAATAAAACCTGCGTGACTGCCAAATAGATCATAAAATATTTCCATACACCAAATATAGTTGAACTATTGCATATAGTATTAGAAAAAAAGACCAAAACTCAAAAAACTTAACTTTGACCACTGAACCATGAAAATGAGGTCAAGGTCAGATGACACCTGCCCGCTAGACATGTACACCTTACAATCATTCCATACACCAAATATAGTAGACCTATGGCATACAGTATAAGAAAAACAGACCAAAACACAAAAACTTAACTATAACCACTGAACCATGAAAATGAGGTCAAGGTCAGATGACACCTGCCAGTTGGACATGTACACCTTACAGTCCTTCCATACACCGAATATACTAGACCTATTGCTTATAGTATCTGAGATATGGACTTTACCACCAAAACTTAACCTTGTTCATTGATCCATGAAATGAGGTCGAGGTCAAGTGAAAACTGTCTGACGGGCATGAGGACCTTGCAAGGTACGCACATACCAAATATAGTTGAACTATTGCATATAGTATTAGAAAAAAAGACCAAAACTCAAAAACTTAACTTTGACCACTGAACCATGAAAATGAGGTCAAGGTCAGATGACACCTGCCCGCTAGACATGTACACCTTACAATCATTCCATACACCAAATATAGTAGACCTATGGCATACAGTATAAGAAAAACAGACCAAAACACAAAAACTTAACTATAACCACTGAACCATGAAAATGAGGTCAAGGTCAGATGACACCTGCCAGTTGGACATGTACACCTTACAGTCTTTCCATACACCGAATATACTAGACCTATTGCTTATAGTATCTGAGATATGGACTTGACCACCAAAACTTAACCTTGTTCACTGATCCATGAAATGAGGTCGAGGTCAAGTGAAAACTGTCTGACGGGCATGAGGACCTTGCAAGGTACGCACATACCAAATATAGTTATCCTATTACTTATAATAAGAGAGAATCTAACATTACAAAAAATCTTAACTTTTTTTTCAAGTAGTCACTGAACCATGAAAATGAGGTCAAGGACATTGGACATGTGACTGACGGAAACTTCGTAACATGAGGCATCCATATACAAAGTATGAAGCATCCAGACCTTCCACCTTCTAAAATATAAAGCTTTTAAGAAGTTAGCTAACGCCGCCACCGCCGCCGGATCACTATCCCTATGTCGAGCTTCCTGCGACAAAAGTCGCAGGCTCGACAAAAACCATGTTGAAAAAATCAGTTGCAATGTTGAAGAATTACCAATCATATCTTAAATTAAAAAAAACACACATGCAAGAAAGCCTTCGGTTCAAAAGTATGCTGTAAAATATATCTTTTATAATGTCTGTCCCTCAGTCTGATACCTAGATTGTAACAAATATCAATTTTTATCAAATCAAATTCACAGAAACACATAAAATAGAAAATGTAGTTTTACATGATGAAAAAAAAATAATAAAAAAAACAAAAACGATTTCATCTGAAAAATATACAAGCTATATATATACCAAGTCAGCTTTTGTTCAAAGTAAATCCTGATTTACAGTTTCAGCAATGACAGTGTGTAATCATTGTATGGTTACTGTATACATATTTTTCTGATTTTCATGACAAAAGCAATAAATGCATACCATATTCTCCAGGTTCTGATAAAAAAAATCTAGTTTGATCTACAGAAGGATATATGTTCTAGGTAAGTTTAATGGACGCCAATTACAGTGGAAGTAAACATTTCTATTTTTCTAAATATTATTTCAAGATAATGCTTAAAAATCAAATGTTCATTTTCAATATGATGGTAACAGAATCTTACAGTAATTACAGGTATCTAACGGAACTGATAATCCGAACTTTCATCAGTTTAATAAAATGTGTCCTTACCTGACAGAACAATTTCCACAAGACATCCATCTTTGACATCAGTTGGACTGGAAATATGTACTAGTATGTTTGGACTAGTATTGTCATGACGAAACAGTAAAATCTTATCAACCAAACTGTAAAACCCGTGTTCAGGAAACTGAAAATAAAAACATAGAATGTAGAACAAATTTATGAAGCTATAACTGTTTTTAAATACAAGTTAAGTTTTTTTTTACAGAGCTTAGTTTTGTATCAATTCTTCAAAAAGAAGAGAGTAATTACATGTAAAGGTATATACATGTTACATGTTACATGTTACGATGATGTATATACATGTAAGTACCGCTTTTTGCAATTGTGACATATACAGCCGGCCAACAGAAAACTATAATGGCTTGACACTGTTAACTTGAAGTGGAAAGGATTAAATTTCCAACATACAGAACTGGAAAGTCTCACACAGATGGGCAATAATATTGCATGTTCTTAGTCTGTCTATTTACAATGTATATTGGGTCACATGCCCTGATCTGCAAACTTCATAAATTATGTCTATGGTTAATTACAGGGCGTCTAGTCCACACAATACACACTAAATGTTGGTACTTTATAATCATTCCATGCATTGTTTATTGTTTTTTATGGATTTTTTTTTTCAAAACTTATCTGACATACATCTTAGTATTACATTAATCAAATTTGAGAGTTTGAGTTCATTGTGTTGTGGCAATGAATTTGAAGGCAAACATAGCTTTATCTTTCTTCTGTAGTAATTAAAAGCAAGTGTGCACATGTAACCATCCATTCCCTTCCCCTTGTTCAGAAGAAATTCACTGGATTCAGAAATATTGAGGTTCAATTAAATATACTTTCCTCTGTGAGAGCAGGAACTACAACTTGTATAATAATTACAGTTGTAAGAATTTAAACATTGTTCATGTATAAACATTTGTAACTAGTTGATCAAAGTTGACAAATCATTGCTTATAATACTCAAGATCAATGAAAACTTATTTCTAGGTTTATTTATCTAAAAATAAATATTTCAGATTGATGAGAAATTAGATACATATATACTGGAGTACATTAACATTTAAAGTTCAAATATGTTAAAATTGAATTTAAATCATTTTAAAGTTCAAAGTTGAATCTAATCAATGTTTTGCATGTTATCATGATGTATACCTGTGTAGGAGGTGGGTCAAGTTACATGTATACACTAAATTAACAACCACACCTCTCACAAGTGTCATGACTTAATTACAATTTTAGAATTTAGCCTGTAATCTACAAGATAAGACACTGTTTTAGATCATGTTTCACATAAATCTCAGAATATTCAGATATCTTTATGAAATGTGATTTTCAATGATTTTACAAGGAAAAATTCTCCTTTCAATGTCACAAATGCTGGTTTCAAGCATTACCACTTAAGATTAATAATAAAACATCACTTAAAATCTATATTTAAACTTTGGGCAGTGCCTTACTTAAGCTTTCTGTTAATTCTTACTTTTTAACTTTTTCGTTGAGGTAATCCCTAATTATATCTGACCGTATGAATTACAGAAACAATAAATTATATGCTATGTATATATGGTCTAATATGATTATGACAGATAAATGGCAGAGTGCGACTGGTATACAGATCTAGACAAAATTCATTAAATAACTGAAATACCTACACTAATTGACATTAAAAGGGGGAGCGTTGAGTTTTCCAAAAATTGGTTATTGCAACCACATATTTATGTTGCTTCCGCATATCATGCCCCTTCCCGGTGGTTGTCTTATATTATATTTTTAATCAGTTGAGGAGGTGTAACTTTTCTTAGAAGATTTAGAGCTTGACCTATTCTAAAGACACCTGGTTATGAAAAACTGGCTGTTGACCTCTTTTGTGTATTGGCTTGCTGTCTCATTGATGTATACCACACTTCTCCTCTTATCCATATCCAAAGGATATCTAAGTTTTTAATTATTTTCAATTAAAAGGGATAAAAATAGTGGAAAACAATTACATGTTGTGATCTGTGTGACCTGTCACCTTTGGTAAACAAATGCCAAGGGTACGTTCTGTATAGAGTAACATTTTTTAGTTACATGTACTTTTTATTTGAATTATATATATAAACAAGGAATTATTTGAATCTGGAATAATTCTGAATTCTCGATAAGAAATGTATGACGAAAACTAACCCAATTTAGGAGGGTTAGCCATGCATGGCTAAGGGGGGTTAGTTAGTTCATACTGAAATATCAGTGACAGTAAAATTAACCTTAGCCATGCACACATGGCTAATCCTATTGAGCTGGGTTAGTTTTCATCATATATTTCTTATCAATTTTCCAGAATTCAAAATTATTCCAGAATCAAAAAATTCCTTGTTATATAACACAATTGTACAGAGATAATTCAATAAAAGTAAAAATGTAAAGATAATGAAACGATAATAAAATAATCTATTTTACAATATTTTAATGAGAACTGCTGTAATTGACATGAAGGAAGTATCTATAACTTCCTATAACATGACATTAGCCTACAGACAATACAAACAATCATGTCAACTTACTTTTTTTTACTATAAAAATGATATACATTGTGTATATTCCATTGACACAAGTCATTAGTCAATAAACTACTAGCAAATCACATAATTAATTAAATGCTCCGCTGGGCGCAGCTTGATACGACTGCAGAGGTCGAACCCTGAACAGTTGGGGCAAGTATGGACACAACATTCAAGCTTGATACAGCACTGAATTTGGATTGTGATTAAATATTTGACACGTCATAGTTTTCTGACACAGAATGAATGTGGTCTAAGAACTTAAAAATTTTTAATTTACCTATTCAAACCATATCATTATTATTTGCTTTTATATATAAATCAGAAATAAACAATTTAAAATGGAAAATTTTAAAGAAAAAAAAAAGGAAAAAAAAATGCCTCCCCCAAATTTTTTGAACCCCCTTATGATTCATCACCCCCAAACTCAATCTCAGCCTTCCCTTTGTGGTATGGTACCTTACAGTACAATTTCAGAGAGATCCATACACTTGAACACAAGTTATTGTCTGGAAACTAGAAAAATGCTTGTTTTTTGGCCCCAAATTCCTAAACGTTTAGGGCAATTACCCCCAAACTCAAACCCAGCTTTCCCTTTGTGATATGGAACCTTGTACGTAGTACAATTTCATTAAGATCCATACACTTTTTAATTTTAGTTTCTTGTGTATAATTTGGAGTTTAGTATGACGTCCATTATCACTGAACTAGTATACATATTTGTTGAGGGGCCAGCTGAAGGACGCCTCCGGGTGCGGGAGTTTCTCGCTGCATTGAAGACCCATTGGTGGCCTTCGGCTATTGTCTGCTCTATGGTCGGGTTGTTGTCTCTTTGACACATTCCCCATTTCCATTCTTAATTTTACTTACACACAAGTTATTGTCCTGAAACTAGAAAAATGCTTGTTTTTTGCCCCTTTTTGGCCCCTATTCCTAAATTTTGAGGCAATTACCCCCAAAATCAATCCCAGCCTTCCCTTTGTGGTATGGTACCTTGCAGTACAATTTCAGAGAGATCCAAATTCTTGAACACAAGATATTGTCTGGAGACTAGAAAAATGCTTATTTTTGGCCCCTTTTTGGCCCCTTATTCCTAAACGTTTTGGGCAATTACCCCTAAACTCAATTCCAGCTTTCCCTTTGTGATATGGAACCTTGTAGTACAATTTCAGAAAGATCCATACACTTACACACAAGTTATTGTCATGAAACTAGAAAAATGCTTTTTTTTTGCCCCTTTTTTTGCCCCTAATTCCTAAAATGTTGAGGCAATTACCCCCAAAATCAACCCCAGCATTCCCTTTATGATATGGAACCTTGTGGTACAATGTCAGAGAGATCCATACACTAACACACAAGTTATGTCTGCAAGTTACAATAAAATGCTCCGCAGGGCGCAGCTTGATACGACCGCAGAGGTCGAACCCTGAACAGTTGGGGGAAGTATGGACACAACATTCAAGCTTGATACAGCTTTGGATTTGGATTGTGATTAAATATTTGACACAGCATAGGTTTCTAACACAGATTGAATGTGGTCTAAGAACTTAAAAATTTTAAATTGGACATTCACCTATTATGGTCCAATATCCAAAATCTAAATACATGGTTAGATTCAGCATATCAAAGAACCCCAAGAATTCAATTTTTGATGAAATCAAACAAAGTTTAATTTTGGACCCTTTTGACCACAATGTGGACAAAGTTGATAACGGGGCCCAAAAATCAAAAATCTAAATACATGGTTAGATTCAGCATATCAAAGAACCCCATATATTCAATTTTTGTTGAAATCAAACAAAGTTTAATTTTGGACCCCGATTTGGACCAACTTGAAAACTGGGCCCATAATCAAAAATCTAAATACATGTTTAGATTCAGCATATCAAAGAACCCTAAGAATTCAATTTTTGTTAAAATCAAACTAAGTTTAATTTTGGACCCTTTGGACCTTAATGTAGACCAATTTGAAAACGGAACCAAAAATTAAGAATCTAAATACACGGTTAGATTCGGCATATCAAAGAACCCCAATAATTCAATTTTTGATGAAATCAAACAAAGTTTAATTTTGGACCCTTTTGACCTCAATGTGGACAAAGTTGATAACGGGGCCCAAAAATCAAAAATCTAAATACATGGTTAGATTCAGCATATCAAAGAACCCCATATATTCAATTTTTGTTGAAATCAAACAAAGTTTAATTTTGGACCCCGATTTGGACCAACTTGAAAACTGGGCCCATAATCAAAAATCTAAATACATGTTTAGATTCAGCATATCAAAGAACCCTAAGAATTCAATTTTTGTTAAAATCAAACTAAGTTTAATTTTGGACCCTTTGGACCTTAATGTAGACCAATTTGAAAACGGAACCAAAAATTAAGAATCTAAATACACGGTTAGATTCGGCATATCAAAGAACCCCAATAATTCAATTTTTAATGAAATCAAACAAAGTTTAATTTTGGACCCTTTTGACCTCAATGTGGACAAAGTTGATAACGGGGCCCAAAAATCAAAAATCTAAATACATGGTTAGATTCAGCATATCAAAGAACCCCATATATTCAATTTTTGTTG